TACTTCCAGAATTAAATTAACTTCAATATATACGATAAATTATTCACGGTAAACACGAGCAACAACTCTACTATCCTACACTTTCCTGCATTTCTCGATATATTAGTTTCCTTCTCATTCTCCATTCAATAAAAAAATCTCCTGATTTTATTGAACCTTTCCGTCCAGGTAAAATCTAGAATGATCCAGTTTGGAATGGAAATGGAAGTAAACATGGAGCTACCTGCTATAACGATGAAGCTAGGTGCATTACGGAAAAAGCACAAAACCATTTCCGTTGAAATAAAATCCCTTTTTACGTTCAATATAACAAATTAGATAGATAATTTATAGAAGTGGTACATTTTAATTTGGGTCTTTCATAGATGATCCATATTGTTCTATAATTCTTTCTCTTTCTATTTTCCCAAACGTTGTTTAAATATTTACTCTACGCAAATGTAAGAGTGCTACCGAGAAGAATAGATCTCGCGACTGCATCGAATCGCTCGCAAAGTGACATTTCTGTCAATCGAACATCACGAGATCGTGAAAAAGCGTAAACACGCGGTGTTACACGCTTGACGCTACGCGTTACGTCTCTCTCGGGGGACGTGGCGAGCGTACGCATTGAATTGCCGGTGGAAAAATAACGGAAGAGAGGAATCGGGAACAAAGAAGATGCGGGCGAGAGGAACGGATCTACGCGGACGCGCACAAAGAGCACACCGAGTATACGTCGCGTTCGTTGGCCGCGCGCGGCGAACATAACCTATAAACATTAACCGCCAGTCGCGGAGGCGAGGGCAGGCAAGCTAGGCTAGGCCAAAGCTAGGGCTAGGCTAGGCCAAGTCTGGCCAGGCGACACGACGCCACGGCGCGGAGCGGCCTGGCGCGTCGCGGCGAGGCGGGCGCGGTTTCGAAGCACGGCCGCACGACGTCGAATCGCACGCACGCCCGTTCGGCGCGACGACGACGACGACGAGGACGACGACAAGGACGACGACCATCGTCACGTAAACGATGACGAGAAACGAGATGCGGTGTGATTGATGATAATAGCAATATACCATGTCCTCCACGGATCCCGTCAGATCCTTCATGTCTAGCGTGGGGTAGAGAAACAGATTCCCCGGCGGTTTCATCCAGTTGCCTGTGCTCTCGCCCGCTCCCTGGCCGTAACCGATTCCGAAACTCTCCACTGTCTCCAAGGTCGCGGCGGCGGCGGCGGTGGTGGCGGCGGCGACGACGGCGGCGGCGGTGGTGGCGGCGGCGGCGTCGTCGGCGCGGTGCGTCACCTCCGAGAGATTCACCGTTAACCCCGTGGTAGTACACTGAACACGGCAACGCGTAATACGAGAAACTCGCGGGTGACACGCGGCGGCACTTTTTTCTCCTCCTCCACCTCACCCCGATGCTCCACGTCGTCGTTGTCACTACACGCGCACTACTGTTGTGCCCGGCGGATCGGTGGCCGGCAATCGATGGTGATACGACAGCGGCGGCGGCGGCAGCGGCGGCGTTGGCGGTGGCGGTGTCGGCAACCCCCGTCGCGGCGCGCTCAACACCGAAGGCGGCGGCGGCGATCGACGACGGCGACCACACGGACGAACGAATCGCACGGATACAAGGACGACAGCGGTGGCGGCGGCACAGCTACCCCACCCCCGGAGCGTCGCCGTCTCGCGTTTTCGTCTCGTCTCTTCTCGTCTCTTCGACCCTCCACGCGCTTACTCGTGCACGGCGGATCACGTCGTCGATGGTGGTCCTTCTATTCCTTCCTTCCTTCCCTCTCTGTCGCGCGCAGCAGACCGGAGCAGAGTCGCGCGCGAGCACAACGTTATTGTATCACCGCCGGCCAAACAATGCGCGAATCGCGACGCAAACGCGCGCGCGACACCGGGAAGAGAGACGACGAAAGAGAGAGAGAGAGAGTCACACACTATCACCACCTCGCGTACGCACCTCTCGGCGCGACTAGCGGGCGAGGAGAGAAAGAGAGATGGCGAAAGAAGGAGACGCGGAAGGAAGGCGAAAAAGCGGCGAGACTACCGCTGTCACACGCGCGCACCCTTCGTCACTTCGACACTTCCGATACCACCGCCTCCTCCACCTCCTGCACCACCCCCTCTTCCTTCTTCTATCGCGTTTTCCGTGACGCCTAATCCGCGTTTCTTTCCTCACGCTCCCGTGCCCTCTCTCTCACTCCTTTCTCCACTCTCGCGCACACTTTGCACAACTTCACTCGCGTATACTCTCGCGCGGTCGCGCCGCTTATTTACAGAGGGAGCGAGTCGAACCGATTCGATTGTTCTCGCGGCAAAGCGCACGTCTCCGCACGTCCGTCTCCGAGAGCATTCCTTAACGCGCGGCGAAGCGCCGTCCACCCCCGGGACAGGCGAGCTCTGGGACAGGCGTCTCTCTCGGTCGGCTGCCGTCGTTCCGTCCCTCTCTCGCTCCTCACTCTCGTTGACCGCGCGCCGCGGAATTTTCGTCAGCCGGGCTCTGGCGCTTCGTCGGACGGAGACTGCGCTCCGAAACCGAAACAAAGAACGACGCTCCCGAGCGGGGCGCCCCTGGCGGTCGCTCCGCCAATCCGCCGGACGCGCCGCGCCGCGCCGCCGTCCCGTCTCGCCCAGCGCAGCGCAGAAGCGTGCGCTCCGTGCGCGGACGGAGCCTCTCCGTGGCTCTCCTTACCGCATGTCGCGCAACGAATGTAAAGCCAGTAATAAGTACTGCGTGTCTTGGACGAGAAACGTGAGATGCAAAAGAGTTGTCCATTGCCACACGATTAAACGTAGATACGCGATTTAGTCTCATATGCGGCATCGCAGATCCCGAGATGAAAGCATGATCGATCAGAGACGACAGGATTGCGTATTAAAAAATACCAAAATAATCATTTGGAACTTATAGTGGATTTTATATTTCTTAAATATACCTATAGGTCTATTTTGTATTCCGAGGAGCAACAGCGGATAAAAAGAATAAAGAGATGAAAATTGCTCGATATATTTTTGCACTTCCATAAATAAATCAAGGGTGTATTTATAGATTGGAGATGTAAAAGAAGATGCATATAAATGCGTAGCTCGAAATACGTTCTAAAAATTTCAATATCTTTCTCTTTTGTTTTAAATCAGTGAATTATATGTGAGTTTGGAATAAAGTAGCGAAGGATAGACCGTTGGTGACCAATTAATACACTGACACATTTAAATGGTGTACAATAGCTATTAATAATAAACAATATATCATTAACATATAAATATATTTAAATTAATTTCCATCGTGTATAAGTAACGTACGTACAAATTAATTCAAATTCGAATAAAATTAAAAAATTAAACGAATTTGTTGGCTGAAACATTTTCTAAAAATCTGTCAAATTTGTCTAAATAAGAAGTTATGCAAATATACGAATGTTATTGACTAATTCCGTTTTAATGTTTTACATTAAAACATTAAATATTAATGATATAAAATTTATATATTATATATAGAAATCCATCAACGGTTTATCTCAAATTGCATTAAATTCAATTATGGAGATCTGTAAAACAGGGACATAAAGTCTTTCACTTCTCACTTCGAATCGTATACAATTTGTCACGCATTCGTACAACGATGGCGTTACTCTCACTGCAAATTTATATTTCATACACGAAGCGAAAAATATAATTCGATATGGCAAATAAAGTATGAGACACGTAATATCGGGAACGACAGTAGATTTATTCATAGGTCAAGTGATTCGCTTTCCTCGCATTATTGAACGGAAGACATGCATTTAGATTGGGAGCCAATGTTGCTGGCGAGATTTAACATTGTTGTATCAGATAATGATTTCAATTATAAATAATTCTTTAAAACATATCGATTATTTTTAAGATATCGAGGTAAATGTAATACCGTAATATTTTCCAACTGGTCATCACTTTCAATAATTTTGCAATAGCCATTGCAAAAACATATTTTTTTTTTTAATTCCGTTTGATTACTGAAAAATGCTGCGATGTCATAGTTACATCCGATAGTCATTAGTTTGTCTAATTTACCGTTAACATATTTGTGTCAATATTAGATATGACAAGACTGAATATGATTGATGTCGAATAGAGTAATATGTTCATCCGACAAATTTACTAAATAAACGATTGGACTTTTTTCCGATTTTTAGTAAATATACCGAGAACGCTGAATTATCTCTGATTGAAATTCTCTAACATAAGTAGAAATAAATCGCTAATGATGAAATATGATTACTATAATCATATAAATTTGAAATTATCAGGTACCTAATTACATATCTTGCCAAAGAAAAATACAGCAGCGCTATATCATAGTTATACATTTTAATTTGATACTCGATACTAAAACTTGTAAGTCCATTCGTACACACAAAAACAGCGATAATCAAATTCTATGCTAATACTTTATATCAGTTATTTGCGAAATAACAGGTGCGGTAAAATAAAAATTGCCGCGATATATTTTTCTACATATTTTCGACTTGTATCATAAATTTTCGTGAAATACGTGCAACAAAAGTCTTTAAAAATGATAAAACGAAAATTCATTCATAATCTATCAGAGTTTCAACCCTGACACAGTTTTTAACAAAGGTCTCGATTGGCAATTTATATAAAAATGTAAAATTGTTGAATCATATCCTTCAATCGAAAGATATAGCATATTTAGATTGATTATATACAAGATTTGTATATAAATTAAAAGATGCAGTAATTTCATATTTATTACAGATAATTTATGACGAATAAGTTGTGTATTGATTTCGAATCTTCAATTATTCATAATCTTCATTAATAATTGTAAAAAAAAAACCAAAAACATTTTAAATATTTTAAATGTCTATCTAAAAAATATATATCATATCTATTATTTTCCATAAAGCAAGAAGTTGATTGGCTGCTGTATTGTTCTTTATTGCGCGGGACGCGGTTTTTGTGTGCAAAAACCAATAGCTTCCAATGGAAATTTTATCATATGGAAAAACTTACCTGTCCATTTCTGAATTGTTGTTGTTGCTGCTGTTGGTGATGAAAGAGAGCGACCTGTTGTTGAGCAGTCATCTGATTGTTTAGATAAACCAAATGTTCCGCACCAGGTGCACCGCTCTAGAAGGAAAATGTGAAAGATTTGTATGAGTGTATAAAAAATGATTTACATAATAAAGTTTAGAATAATTTTTTTTACAAACTTGTAAAAGTAATAAAATAATAAAATATAATCGTTAACATTTATCACTTACTTTTAATTGCATAGGATGTATCTCGTAGGGTACATTACTCAAATGTACATTGTTCATAGTTAATCCCAGCTGTTGAGACTGACTTTGTTGTGGTACACCAAGCTTAGTCATAGAATATTTCCATTTCTCTTGATTCTGTAAGACAAATTATTTCAATTGTATTGTTCACTGTTTTATCACTACATTAATAACATCGTAGCATAAACATTTCTATTTATTACATATAGAAAAGCGCAATATACACGTACATAAATTACAATTGTATTATTACTAAATATATATGTTTCATTGTTTCAATATTTTCTTTAAATATGCTAAATTTGAAATGAAATAAATTTTTGGGGGTGTTAGATAGCTCGATAAGCTCAGTATTAGAGTAGTTGAATGTCATTAAAAATTCAAGTTTCATAGACTGTACCAGAATGGAATTCCTAAATTTAGAGAATCCTAAATATGATTCTTACAAAGATTCTTACAAAAATTCATACAAAAATTTCTTCAAAAATTTAGAGTAATTGGATGTCATTAAAAATTCATATTTCACAAACTTTGTATCAGAATGGAATTGCCAAATTCAGAGAATCCCAAATATGCAAAGATTCTTACAAAAATTCATAAGAAAATTTCTTCAAAAAATCTTACAATTAATGTCAAATATAAGAGAACAGCACAAGATTAGAAAATATTCCACTTTGATAGAAATAAAGTTTGAAAAACATTAATTTTTAATCCCAAATTAGGAATAAATAAATTGTGATATTGCATTATTCCTTGGAAGACAGAAACTTCCAAACATTAATAATAATAATTTTAAAAACAAATTCCTTAAAAACAGAATTGAATAAGAGACTAACGAGTTCATCTATATGATGAAAATTACTATTATAACGAAACTAGTTCAGAAGTTTTGATTCGCTCAAAACTACATGCAATAAAGCAAACAGGTATGTATTAGATTTTGAAGCTTTACTGAAGTGTCAAAATATCATATTAATAGAACGTTTAATCAACTGATGTGCATTTTGTCATACATACATTATCGACGATAACGTCATCCGCTAACGCCCAAGCTCTTGGAGCTTGCTTTGCTTGGAAAGTCGAAGATTGGGTGTTAAATTCTGGCTCCGTAGGTCGTTGAAACACATAACCAACCATAGCATCGTCTTGAGTTCTACTCACTCCCATCTGATGTGTCTGACCAGGTTGGATTCGCATATTATCACCACCAGCCATAATTTGCCCACACTGATCTGTATCCTAGTAAGCCATACATACCAATGATTAGTAGTGCCCCCCACGACATATTTGATGAAAGGCTTAAAAGATATAACAACATTCTTTTTCATGCGACTATAACCAAAATGATAAACTTCACATTTACAATTGTCTCAGTAAAACTTGGTTACACTTCTACGTATAACTTTTTTACGTATAAATTTTTAATTATCAAATGTCACATTAAAAAAAGTTCAAATTCAAATTAAAACGTGACATTAAACGTAACTGCGATTCGACTATCTTCGTACTTGAATCTTTATCCCCCTTATTCGACTAAATTTAGTTGATCAAAAATTTGTTCATAAACTAAGTTTTCCCACTTTTCAATCGTTAAAAATTTGAAAGTTACTAATACGGTGGGCATATATCGAAACAAACAAGAATTTTTCCAATTCTGCCTCTAGCATCTCCAGTAAGGAGAAGGTTATTATATACATATATTGTTTTCACGCGGTCACTTCGTATTCGAGCCACTCGGCGCATTCCTCTCGCGCGGCGCACAGGATCGGAATCAACGTTCCCGTCGACACTTGTAACACTCATGCTGACATTTGCAAACGCTCGTATTCTCAGCACGACGGCCGCCGTCGAGGTTATGGCGGCCCGATCTCGTGCGCCGCAATTGTCGCAGTCACGCTCGATTCGCGGTCGGCGTGTTCCTCCGTGATCCCGAGGGGAAGCCCGATCGGCGAGGAGACACAGAGGAGAAAAAGAAATAGAAAAAAAAAGGGGAGGACGAAAGAGAAAAGAAGCGGACGAGCGGTATGTACCGTGGGTATGTGGCCGTTGGCGGAGGTGTGATGCAGCTGCATGGAGGATGCCGGTTCGCCCCCGGCGCCTCCGCTGCTCGCGCCGAGCCACTTCATGTCCTCGTGGTGTCAGGCCGCGCCGCTGTCCCCGGGCACGGCGAACGCGGTACGGCCGTACGTGCTGGGGGATGCACCCTCGACCTCGTGTAGGTTAGCTCTCGCGCGGGCAGAGCCGGCGGCGTCTGGCGAGATGCCGTGGAGGATGCCGCTTGCTACGGTCGTAGCGCGATCATGTTCCGTGGGCGCGCGCTGTTGTTAACGGCGGCACATCCTCACGGCGGCCGTTTCCTGGTCGACGGCGGCGAAGAGGAGCGAAGATGAACGGCGAGAACAATGACGAAGGCGACTACGGCGACGACAACGACGGCAGCGGCGACGACGACGACGACGACGACGACGACGGCGGTGAGGCGGCTGCGGTTGAGATTGCCGTTGCGGTTGCGACAGCGGCGACGACAGCGGCGGCGGCGACGATGACGGCGATGATGACGAGCGGCACGCCGATATCAGCCCGAGAGAGGCCGGAGAAGCGTATTTACCGAGCTGCGAGCGAAAACCAGACAGTTACAGCAATGGCAGCTGCGTGCAGCTCCGGCGCGCTGCTGCCGGATTTTTGACAACACTGTGTGTGCCTGGTGTGCGCCGGATACGGAGGGAGGGAGGGAGGGAGGGGGAGAAAGAGAGAGAGAGAGAGAGAGAGAAAGGGACCGACAGACGGAGAAAGAGAGAGAGAGAACACAAAGGAAACCGTCGTGAACGGCGGGCGCGCACGATGACCGCGGGATCGCTCGTTCACTCACTCGCTCGCACACACACGCTCGTGTCGCTCGCCCGAGCGAGATCCTTGGCTGAGGCGACGAGGCACGAGGACGGACCTGACGCACGTACGCACGCACGAACTGACCGACCGATCGAGTAACCGACCGACCGACCGACAGCACCACGGCGGATACGATCGCGAAAAGGCCGAAGGAAGGAAGGAAAGATGAAACAAGCGAGAACTGCGTGCACGAGAAAGGAGAGAGGGAGCGGGAGAAAGGGAGGCATAGATCGTGCGCGAGAGAAGGAAATGACGGAACAAGCGAGCGAGCGAGCGAAAGAGGGGGGAGAGAGAGAGAGAGAGAGAAAAAGAGAGGTGATACAGAAAATTCGCGAGACTCCGGAGTCTTCGTCTACGACGTGTGGCGAGAGATCTCCGAGAGATCTCGGTGAAGCGTTTACCTCGCCCCTCGATGGACACTTCTCGACGACGAGGATCAACCGTCTCTTTTCTTTCTCTCTTCGCCCGCGCCTCCCTCTCTTTCCCTCCTCACTCCGTCTATAACTCCCTTTTTCCTCCTGTCTCGGCCTGTCGCACTCTCCGTCTCGCGATTCTCCCTCAAACACACACGCACACACACTCACACACGCGCGCGCCTTCTTCCTCGCACGGTCATTTCGTTAAAACTAGGGCTTAAAATACACTATTCACAGGTATGTACAGCCACGCGCGGGCCACAGACACACGACGTGCGTCCACCGGCGTACGCGTGTTTCGCGCGCAAGGATGCTGCGTGCGCGATTTTCGTGGTGGGAGGCGGCGGCGCGGAGGAGTAGCGGCGAGGAGGGGGGAGGGTGAAGGAGGAAGACGGACGGGCTATGTGTCATGCTGTCTCGCTTTAGCCTCGTAATAGCGTGCGCTCGTACCCGCGTCTCCTACGCGATTTACAGTCTCCCCCTCCTCACCCTCTCTCCTTCTCTCACCGCACACCGTTAGAACGAAGAAATAATATCAGATTCTTTCTCGCGATCGAGAGGATTCTTCCCTTCGCTTCGGTTTACCTCGATCGGACGTCTCGCATTTGCGTCAATATAACGCTGTCGGCGACGTAAATCGCGTATATAAGATCGCGTCGTGCTCGGCTACCCTTCGTCGCCGCGATAAAAATTCAATTTTTATTATGTTGGAAACGCGACAGAGCGTACGGCGCCACCTGTCGTCGCGCTTCCGACAATCTTGACGTATCGTAGGGTAGAAGAAAGAAGATGGCCGCACGTGCGCGCGGAACTTTCGAACGTGATCTTGCGGCGTCGGTCATGCGTAGTCGACGCTAGACGATCTGTCAGAGTGTGTATATTCAATTAAAATTTATTAAGAGATTTAATAATGAAATTATTTGAGAAGTTTTGGTACGTATTTAAAAAGTTTGATATATATGTGTTTAAATATTGTGCCAAATAATCGATTAATGTTTATAATTAAAAAATGTTCAATAAAAATTAATAATAAAATGATAAAGGGTCGAGTTGAATTAATATGAAAGAATCCGATATTCTGGAAAAGAAATAGGAAAAATTAAACGAGGAAAAAAAATACGATTGAATGTCAGGGACATCGTGACGGTATTTTCGATTTGCAGACAAAACACAATTTAAATATATACATATAGTATGTGAGATGCATAATATATTGCTTTATAATAATAAATATGTATTATTATTATTATTTTTATCTTTATTAATGATTTATTGATATTATTTTATTTATTATTTGTGTAGTATTACAATTATAATTAATTACTAAGTATTTGCATTATCGTATTAATAAATAATTATTGCAACATTAAATAATTAATTATTATACAGTAACAAATAATTTATTATTATACACGCCTATATATATATATATATATATATATATATATATATATACGAAAAGTCGTGTGCCAACTGTTAAGTTTAGTTAATTAACTCATCAAGTAAATGCCCCGCTATTTTTATTATTCCGATATATTCACTGTCAGCTGTATACTGAAAATCTGTAGCGCATGTAATATTATTATATGTATTATAGATTTTCAGTATTGAATATCGGAATTGTCCATATTATAAGATCCATCTAAGAGGGATATACATTATAATTGACTATATCCAAAGAAAGAATTTAAGAAAATTATCAGAAGGCAACTATTTATTTTGTTAACAAGAACAGAGTTTTGTTGATATTTGAATAGAAAACATGAAGACTTAGGAATGACGAGTCGTACAGTCACAGAGAAATCATGCAATTCCACCGATCAAATTATAATCGCCCGTCAAGTTAATCGGGAGTTTCGGCCAGAGGTGAGTCACCCAGCAGACGTGAAACGCGCGCGACGCGTCAGTCAGCCCTCCCTAACCCAACTTCGGTCGCCCTCGGGTGGCGGGATGGAATGGGAGGGAAAGGAGGGAATCGAGTCAAGAAATAAGTGGCACGGCGGACGGGGACGGCACGGGACGTCTCTATTCGTGCGTTCGCGATCACGCAACCGTGGCGGACAGATGATAGATAATCGCCGTGCCGTCTTTCGTAAGTCAGCGTGGCGCGCGGCGAGCGGCCGACGACACGTAAGCGCGAAAAAGTGGTTGAACCGGCTCGCACGAGGAGGCCGGAGATCGAAACCGGTAATTGATACATCCCGGCTCGCGGGTTTCCTCCGGACTCTCGGATGACGTTGGCGCGCGCGTCTCCAGCAGCTGCAGTCGCTCCGGACGATCGGCGTACGAAATCTGACGAGAGAGATAGAGAGAGAGAGATCGTTTCCCTTCTCTCGTATCTGCCCCCGTCGGAGACGTCGCGGCGGTCTCGTTTCCTTAATTTACTCCTCCGATCTCGCTACGCTCTCTCCCGCGATCTTCCGCGCGTGCAACAGTCATCAGTGTCATCATCGATTTATTGTCCTAACGTGTTTGCGTTACCAGCGTGCGCGGCCGTCACGCCGGGCACGAAAATATCGAGAGGCAGTGATGCAGAGAGGTTGGAACGATCGCGAAATATGGTTGCACATAGCGGAAGTAATTAACGCCGATCCGCTCCGTTGGCTCGTTCGCGTTACCGCGACGAGCTCCGATTTTTATCCTGCTCCGCGACAACGATCGGCAGTATAACGTCAGTTTCAGCCGCGGGATCTACCGCGTCGCGATCGAGAATGATCTCTCTGAAATGTGTCAAAAAAAGAAAAAAATCGTTTCTCTTTTGACCGGATGACGCTCGTGTAGTTTACTTCCGCAGGAAGTGATTCGTGTTAGAATTCAATAAACTTGCATATGACAGCATATGTCATTCGAGAATGCCGGAGCTACTCTTAGAGGCCGCGTGTACGACGTGTGAACGTAAGAGTGAAGTGTCTCTCTCTCTCGCGTACACAAATTTGACGAAGGCCTGTGTTATGTTTGCAGATTTCGTAATGTGACACATCGCAGATACAAACAGTCTGTTCAAAATGGCAGCGATTTGCTCCGGACGACCTGGTTGGTTAGGAAAGCTCGGAATAGCATTGCTAGCCACATGGTTTTTAATACTGATCATGTCCATCGTTCATATATTTAAGTCCAACTCGTTGTCAAGCCGCGACGCTGACACTGCCAACAAGGAGAACACGCAACGCCTAGCACAAATGGTTAACGACTTTGAAATTCTAAAGAAGCAGAACGAAGCGCTGAAGAACTTTATATTAGGGTACGTATATTTGCGTATATCGTGAAATCGGGGAAAGAAAATTTCGCGGCCGGTCGAAACATGCGAAATTTGAAACGCAGAGACACTGCGATCCATTGTACAGGCTAACATGATTTCCAGAGAAGGGTCGAAGGCTATACAAGGGGACCATTTAGGCTCCGTGCAGGACAAGCTCGAGAAAGCATCGGTCTATTACGACCTAATGGAGCATCAGGATGGATCGAAACACGGTGTTCCCTCCTCGGAATACGAGGAACTGCGACGGCGATTGAGAAACGACGTTCAGGAGATGTGGTAAATACAGCAATGACCGATCCAAATTGAAACCAATTGTGCTTAGTACGTTACGCGAAGGATTACATGCTTAGCTTTACACTACAGGTATTACGTTAGCGCCGAGTTGAATAAATTCAAGAAGCACATAGATGAATTCACGTATGATCAAAGAGAAAAGGAGATACAGGATGTGATGAAGAATGCATGGGAGCACAAAAAGTCACTTATAATGAATATCGATAAGTTAAAGAAAACAGATGGTTACGACGAATGGCGGGAGAAGGAAGCGAAAGATTTGTCCGATCTCGTTCAGAAAAGATTCAGGTAATGCAGCTTTCTTCGGTATATTATGTAATATACTGAAGTATTTAATATATCGAAATCAAATTGTTTTAATCTTATTTAATCTAATCTAATCTAGCTATATCTTGTATTTAAAGGTATCTACAAAATCCTACCGATTGTAATAAAGCGAAGAAGCTGATATGTAGCTTAAATAAAGGTTGTGGTTTTGGTTGTCAGGTGAGAAAATTAAATTACGATGATTAAGTCGTTAAATAATGAAATAAACTAAGTGCCATGCGCCTCTTTGCAGATTCATCACATCACGTACTGCTTCTTAGTGGCTTACGGTACAGAAAGAACATTGATAATGAAATCCAAAGGGTGGAGGTATCACAAAGACGGGTGGGAATCTGTTTTTAAACCCCTCAGCGATACTTGTTTATCCACAACTGGTACTTCACATGCTAACTGGCCTGGAGATCCGTCTAAACAAGTAATATCTCTGCCAATTGTGGACAACGTTTATCCCAAGCCAAGGTTCCAGCCACCCAGCGTACCTGCAGACTTAGCGCCGAGACTAGAGAAGATTCACGGTCATCCTCTGGTTTGGTGGGTAGGACAAGTGTTGAAATACTTGATGCGACCACAGGATCACGTGAAGAGAACGCTGGAAAAGGCGAAAGAGAGGCTCGGTTTTAAGAAACCCATCGTCGGCATTCACGTGCGTAGAACTGATAAAGTAGGTACCGAGGCAGCTTACCATGACATAGATGAGTATATGACTAAAGTGGAGCAATATTTTGATGAGCTCGAAGCAAAACCGGACGTGAGGAGAGTTTTTATAGCCAGCGACGATCCGAAAGTGATAACGTCAGCGAGAAAACGTTATCCGAATTACGAGATAATAGGCGATCCGGAAATCGCGGAGACGGCATCCGTGGCGAAGCGATATTCGGACACCTCGTTGCAGGGAATAATTATCGATATCCAGCTTCTGTCGGAATGCGATTATTTGGTGTGCACGTTCAGTTCTCAAGTATGTCGCGTCGCGTACGAGTTAATGCAAACCTTTTACGTGGACGCGTACGACAGATTTACATCCCTCGACGACATATATTATTACGGGGGACAAAATTCACATCCCCACATAGTTATTATGGATCACAAACCGAGAAAGAACGGCGAGTTGGAACTAAAAGTTGGTGACTTGATCGAGGTCTTTGGCAATCATTGGGACGGTTTCTCTAAGGGATACAACAGAAGAACCAGCATGACGGGATTATATCCAAGTTTCAAAGTTAAAAATCCTGTTGATGCCGTAGATTTTCCCAAGTATTCGAATATTCCTTTGCTGGAGAATAAAGAGGATTAAATCAGAGTCGAGATCGCTGAGCCAAGTCATTTTCTGACAAAGTGGAATTTCGAGTAAATCGTTATCTCTTTGGATCAACTTCTCGAAATATTAGCAAAGGTAACATGGCACGATGTATATATTTTGCTACTTGTAAATTACGATTTTAACGCTTGTAAATTATCACAAATGATGTCACAAATGTCCATGACTCAGACTTGTCAAATAAGAGACTGTACGCTTTATTCGATTACGCTGAATTTTTAAAATATTACAAGTGATTTTTCTTGAATGTACGTAACGGAGATACCGGAGATACAGTTTCCAAACATTTAAGATTCTTTTTATATATGAAACTGTAATGTAAGTTATTACTATGTAGATAGCACTTTTAGGGATAAGGTAATTTGCAAATCTGTAGTGCAATGCAGTATTTGTAATATTTTAATATATTTTCATTGATGTTGCGAAATGTGATTGTTAATTTAATCAAAAAATTTTAATTAAAGAAGATTAATCTTGCCGAATTATTATATCTGGAAATATAATGACACGAAATATATAATATTTCGATGTTAAGATCGTGTCGGCAAACCAAATTTGTTCCATATATGTATATAATATAGATATAATAGACTGAAAAAAAGATTTATTGTGCGTATTAAAATATCCGACGTTTGTGCCAATGCATTCTCATGAAACATTGTTTACATTGACGAGCTGAAATTCGATGTCCCTGGAAAATACGTAATATAGTTATTGAAAAGTTTTTCCTCATTTATTACACGCTCCATTATTTGTAAATAAAGTTGTGAAATTATTTCGCTAGCGAATGACTCGTATCAATGTTTATCACAATAACCGAATTATATAATGTGGGATGTCCCAGAGAAAGCTTCTGTATATTTTGAAATAGGAGAGATTCGTGATGTGTCGCTAAAATATACAAACTTTTGGGACATTCTGTATATTTTACATACATGTACTACATTTAAACTAGCTTAATGGATTGCAATGTAAAATATCATATATGTATATTATGATATTTTACATATGTATTATGTATATTGTACATAAAGTATTCCCGCGTAAATGACATCGAGCTAGGCTTGGGGCCTATCTTCAATATAGAAGAACTTTCCCTGTATGCATATTGTAATATATTTTATACGCAAAACGCAAATGAGAATTGTTATTATAAAATTCGAATTTGATTTTGACTAATAAATATTTAATTTACGAAATATATTGTGTACGTTTTTTTAATATAAAAAATATTTATATAAGAATAATCTTGAAAAATTTAAATTCCCGTATGGCGTTTCGAAATATTTACGATAAACTTTAATCATAGTAATAGTATTGCGACTTTTGTAAAAAGAAAGTTGAAAAATTTTCCAGATTAAAATTCTGGCTGAGAAAATTTTTATTTATTGCTTGTCAATTTAATTACGTAGTCCAGATTCAGTTTAGAACTGTATTTCAAGACGATAAATGTTCGGCGTGCAATTTATCTGGACTGAAAAAAAGATTCACACAAAAATATTACATTATTAAGCATGAAAATCCGCTTCAAATCGCATTAGTGTTTCTTCTACACTAAGAAAAATTCTTCTAGTTTGAACACTTTGAATTTACGTGGTCTCGATTAAATTTCATATTAATATTTAAAATATTTTTTATTATACTGCCAACCTTTTGTGTATTACAATACTTTATATACATAAAAAATGATTAGTAATGGATTCATTGTACGCCGATATAAAACTTTTTACACTATTTATTTAGTCGTGCATACAAGCTATAAGGTAATCTTATATTTTGCTTATCAACCTAAAAGCGTCGAAATACAATATAAATTAATTTCAATAGTAAAAGCAAGCAACAAAAACTGTCAAGTAAAGCAGCGTTTTCGTGTATAATTTCACTACGATTGATACGAAAACGATTAACCGAAGAGACCCAGTATGCTGTTCTAAACAAATGTGAAAATAGACAACTCATAGTCATCTCATGCACAACGCGAATATTTATATTTAATTATTATTAAGGTATCAGTATTCTCTTTCTCTCTCTCTCTCTCTCTCTCTCTCTCAATTCGCGATCAATATTCATTTAATATTAAGCTCGAGTTACAAAGTCCTTGCAATAAATACAATAATTAACTTTAACTCTTACTTCATAATTCTCGTTTTATACATTGTTCGATAATAAATGGCAAATTAATGAGATCATCGTGAATTTAGAAATATTTACATCTACTTTGAGTTTTTCAACTCTCGACAAACTAAATTTTAAAAAATACAAATAACTTATGTCTCACTATACAGGATGTATCTGAAATAGCGCTCACTAATTATTTACGTTATTCTTTGTAAAAAACTAAGTCAAAAAGTTCTGAATCACTTTTCTGTACAATGCTCAATAAAGCAGTAGCTACTATTGCAGTAATGATCGCTTCATTGAGCATTGTAGAAAAAAGTTCACGATTTTTCAATTAATTTTTTTACAAGGCAACACTATGGTTACGTTCCGCATTCATGCTTATAGCGCTTATGGAATAATTTTATCCTTGCTTATCAAATATTAAGCAAGGATAAATCATGCTCACAGCGCGTGAACATTAAAATAAACTATATAATTAGTGCGCTATTTAAGATACATCCTGTAGAAAGCACGCTTATAACGAATACAACTGATTTTATCTCGAATTTATTTGGATCAATATTCGTCTTTTAAAGTAAATTTAACAAGCTATTACTCAACTGATGGTATTTGTATTTGCTTTGAGTAGTTATTGTTTTAGCCACCATGAGCTCGAATTTATCATTAAAATGACTTATCATGTAATTAAAATTATTTTTTTATAGACTTTGCACATATTTTGATCGCGGAACAGAAAATGATGTAATAATTTGATCGACGAGTACCAATATACGCAGCATTTGAAGTAGTCAGAACAATTTCCAGTGTGAGTATGTATATGATACCAAAAACAGTTCACAAATATTGACTAGGTTTATTTTACCTTTACAAGATATAATGCAAATAACGAGCTGATCACAATCAGAAATAAGAGTTATTTATACATTGATATCGTATTTTTTATTTAACTTATTGTACAAATTCAAAATGTGTATACAGGATGGTCAATCGCAACTGGATAATATTTTAACGGTAGATAAAAAATAAAAAGACTATAGATAAAAAATTAAAAAAGCCAATGATTATTTTATTATATCGAGAGATTCATATTTCTTCAACCAAAAACAATTAAAAGGTTTTCAACGGAATCTAAGTTTCGGATATATAATAAATAAATAACAAAATATTGCTCTGCTTATTTAATTTTATTTGAACGGAATTTTTAATTTATTTGTTAACCCGATAGATGATGTTGAAAAGTAAATAATTACGATAAAAAATAAACGAATTTTTGTTCGAAAAGATTTAGTTTCAGAGTTTTGTCCAAGAATCTATCATTAAAATATTTTTCGTTGGTGGCAGACCACTTCATATATCGTAGTGTGAATTACAATTTATTGTCACGATAATATACTACCATATTTTTTTTGCAATTTCCTATTTAATTAATAATTTTCTATTTAAATCTATGTTACGTGTGCTGTGCGAAAATGATTAATTCAATAATTCTAAATTCTAAGATTTCTGATGATTTTATAGTATCATTAGTTAATGTTTCTACAAAATCCCCAATATTTTTATCACAAAACTAACTATCACTATAATATATGGATGTACATGCGTTTCTATTATATAATTTTACGAAACAATGATGATCAGAGTAACAGACATATTAAAAATTCATAATATTTGAGTTTTTTAATCGATTTTAAAAAGTTTTGATGTTAACAATAACATAATGCACGGAGTGTAAAATGCGTGTTTCGTCAGTTATAATCCACATTACACGACTTGCAATTTATACGGCTTGAAAGACATTGTTTGATTTGGTAAATTATAAATTAACAAAGAAAAAAATAGTCTACTTTGATGGAATAAAAGTCAACGAGAAAATACTGGAAATTGAATTCTGACTTCACATTAAATAAAATTATAAACAACATTACAACATCCTTATGTAATGCAAGCAGCACTTTATTGGGCCCTTCCAATTTGCTAGAATGACTATACCTGAGAAACAAACGTCTCACATTTATGCTAGACAGCCAAGAGATTGGCTTTCATCTGTCTCGTATAGGTTTCTTCGCTCCTTGCAAATCAATTTATATATGCAAATAAAAAGCAGATCAAACATACTCCACGTTCCCGTAAACTATTTACGTTGTCATTCCGCTTATTGATTTTGCGTTCGTCGTTCTCCAATGATATTTTCCAATTTCCGTGAAACAAAAGTTGCAGTTTTTTTAGGAGGTGAACTTTCTGTCATTTCTACATCCGTGTCATCGGAAAGTAATCGCTTGCCCACACTCTTTTTTGCGTCCACAGATATCATCATCTTGTTGATAGCCTCTAAATCCTGTAACATATCAATAATATGTAAGAATAAAGAGGAATCAATTTTCAGAAATCCATAGATCTAAAAGCTAGTTATATAAAATTAATGTTTTAAAAAATCCGTTTTTACCTTGGCAGGGCTACGACTGAAGCAATAGCTTAATTGCGGTGCCGGTGACGCACTTATAGCCTTCGGATCTAGAGTGCGTGTCATAATACTACTGGTGACACGCCTCACTGGAGAATTAGCAAGTGCCTTTCCTTTTGGCAAAGGACTCAGCGAGAGATTCATGACGCTACCGCGAGCCGGTCCGAATTTTTTCGCGAATTCATTGACTTGCGGAACGTACATCGTGTTGTAGAATTTGATTAGATCGCCGCGTATCTCCCCGTCGAAGTTCTGCGAGGTTCCGGCCATATTCGTTGGTGTCGGCGGAGTCGCGTTCTCTCCTCCTACAGTGTTCCTCTCTTCCGATCTTTCGTTACCGCTCGTTGCCGGATCTCCGTCGTTGGAAACTTTTTCAATCAGCACCGATCTGTATATATGCGATTCGGCCTGCGGCTGTAGACGGTAACACCGCATGATCTCGGTGAATGAGTTTCTCTCTATCCTAACCAGTTTACATATTACATAAATTGCACACATTAAAATCTGATCGAGATGCCGGTCTTTCATCAACTTGGTACGTTCCTTGATGGAGTATTCGAAAATCGTCCAGATCTTTTTCTTATCGTTGTCCGATATCTCCAATGAATTGCACAAGTCCTGCATGCGTACGCACGCAAGATTGTAGAACTTTCGGAAGAACAGCGCGACGGAGCCCGTTCTTCTCGGTCTAGCCGCGTCTCGGTTCGTCGCTTGCGCGGAATTGCTTGTTGACGCTTGCGCGCCCGAGCCCGACGCTCTAGAAACAATTTGATCGGGCAACAAGAGTATCCTTTGACCATTGTCAAATAACATTCTATTCGAGGTCAACACACTCTGTCCGACACGAAGAACACTTTGACCGGTGATTCTGGTCTCGGAAAATAATCGCTTCTTTGCTACACCTACAGATGCTGTGACAGGAGACTGAAATCTAAATCACATATAATACAATACAGATGTCATCCTTCATGAAAAAAATATTTAATGATAAAAAGAGCATTCGATTCTTTTAATTATTTTGCAGATTATGATTTGAAGAAGCTTAATAATTATTATTAAATTTATAAGTTTTTCAATTTTTGAAAGATTATAAATTCAATCTTTTTTTTTGTAGTTCTTTCTGCACAAAATTAACTATTCTACACAAAAGTTAATTATACCTTTCCGAAGCGGACGAGATCGGGCTTTGTTGAACGTCGTGGGAACGTTCCCGATCTAAAGTAATCCGTCTTAACACAGGTTGACCTGGCGCGTTTGGATCGGTTTCTAAAGTGCCAGGCAAAGAAACGTCCTCGCAGCTCGGCACACCTCCCGGCAAAGACTCGATGGTTTGCCACAAAGGACTATCACTTTGCCAAGCCAGGGACTCCAAAATCTTTTCCTCGATCTGATTCAAGTGCTTCACAACATCCCGCGACAATTGATCCTCGGCTCTCACTATAATTTCTATGACCTTATAAAAATAGTAAGCGTCCAGATTCAGAGCCTTCAGTATCCAAGGGAACACCTTGTCGTTGCTTTTGTACGAATATATAACTATTTCGAGACAGCAGGCAAAAAGGCATTGGATAAAGACTTCATTCAAGAGAAGATTCTGTAACAAATAATTATTAAAATATGAATATGCTGTTTCAAAGATTTTTTACGACTTTATGTATAGCTATCTTCATTCATATAAACTTACAGTTATGTCGTCATTCGGCTTTTTGCGTTTCTCGTCGTTTAGGATCATTTCTAAAAGCTTGTAAAACAGAGTCTGTCCCATGTGAAAACGCCTCTTTCCAAAGTCAGATGCTGAACCGTCGTTCGCGTTTGCGTTATTATTATAGTTTGCACAAAATTGTTCATCAATCTGTTTAACTTTTGCCTCGAGTGAGGATTTAACGTCTTGAGAACAGTTGCTCAGCATCTGTAACAGGCTTTCGCTCGGAGCAGATCCGCATTGTCCAGCTATCAAAGCCTGTAACTTAATGACGCTTTGAGTTGCCGTAGTCACCGGTGTTATTATATTAGATATGTCCTTCGATCGAAGATATTTACGTCCGGTCAATGGCGTGGGAGGTGCCAACCATTGTATCTGCTACGAAAAATAAACGGTTACGCAAGTATTACGCAATAAAAAGCAATATGCTCACTATTAGTCAAATAAAATAATCTTTCTTAAAACTTACCCCAGCATGCTGTTCCCTCTTCATTTGCAATCGTTCATGAAAATCATCGAGGTTCATCATTTGCGCAGGGGAACCGATATTTTCATTGGCGTCATGACCTGAAACAAAAATTGCCTATTTATAGAAATTTGTAAAAAATTATAAGCTAACGGCCCAATTGTGTTAAAAAAATGTGTAATTAATAGACATAAGAGGAATTACTCATTTGGATTATTTACAAAACAGAAGCATTCGCACAAGATATCACAGACCCACCTTGTAAAACGTCACGTTTAGTAAACTGGACATGCCTAGCACCATTTTGGTCAATTATATTTGAATTTGATATATTGCTCAAAATTACTCTCCTCCATTCCGCTATAAAGCCGTCACGACAAAGCAAATACACAAATTTGTTAAGGAAAAAAAAAAAAAAGAATAAAATAAACTTAACACAAAGTAAATAGGTTGCTAGGAATATATCTTCTTTTTTAGCTTTTCTTTCTTTTTTCAACTACAATTTACAAGTTCAGATAGGTTCATTGTATAAGTTATACACATACATATATACACATGTGTATGTTACAAACAATAACAAAGTGTAACTTCTATTGAAAAAAAGAAAAAAAAATAAATCAAATATTCATGTTATATAACTAACGTTAAATTTTCATTTGAATCCAACCTATGTTGTAAACAATCATTAATTGTGCAGCATATATATTCTCGCTTACCAATTCACGTGGATATTATAGAAGCGAAATATAAGTTAGCAGAAAGCATGCAAGATTATAACAAACTTATTACAGCAATGCATTTATCTTGTTTCTTACATCAGTACTAAATCCCGAAACACAATAGATGTAGTAAGCCTTAAGCCGTAAGAAATTGACCAATCTATTATTCTCTTTACATTCAACTGCAATCGATCCATTTCTTACGGCTTAAGGCTTACAACACCTATTGTGTTTCGGGACTAATTACTATATAGATCAAAGCTCTTCATTTAATTGTAAATAATTTTACCTAAAAAAATTCTTTCATCAAAGTCTCCAACACTTAGCATACGCTGTTCGTAAGACTTGTTAATGGCCTTGTTGTTACCATCAAAATTCAATGCCTCTAGCATACCAGAGAAATTTGACTGATCACCGCGTAAGACTCTTTCATTAAACAGTTTGTTAATGTAACTTTTAACATAGTACTCCTTTATGGCTTTAGCCTCAACAGCAATTGCATCGTAACGTTCGCACAGCAAGTTAACAATGCAATTTGCTGTTTGCGGCGTAGTGTAGTTATCCTCGTTAAAATTCGCTGGTAAGCCTGTAAATCAGAAAACATGAGATAAAATCGTTCTCATTGAATTACGATTGTTATCTGCTCACTTTAACTCCAAGGATACTCACCAAGAAAATTAGGATTCAGCAAGTCTTTTCTGTTGGCTAATAGAGCATTGTTGTACATAAGATCGCAGCAAACCAGTAAGAGGTGATAGGAGTTGACAAGGTCGTCCGAGATATCGTGAATTGCACCTTTTATGCATATAAAGAGCGTCCAGCAGAATTCAAAGACCCTGCTAGGTGTACAAGGCACCGCTTTGTGCCTTCTGGATCTATGCGGTCTCGAAGTGTCCTCTCGTGGATCTTTGAATATATCAGCAAATATCGGCTGATACTTCTTAAATATGACCATAGACACTGAAAAATTAGCCTCTAGCTTTTCTATCCTCGCTCGAAAGTCCTGTGGCATATTGGCCATATCTGCCCATGATTTGCTCTTTGTAAAGAATTCTATGAGCGGGAGATTACACAGTTGTAAGAGACGAGTCAGCGACACGCAATTGCCCTCCACATTGGTGCCTGGTCTCCCTACCGTAGGTATAGAGAATTTTCTACAAGCAACGTACACTGCACATCCTAACCAGTGTAGCTGGTCACCCTGTAAATATGTATTAGAAATCTTTTACAAACCAATGCTCGTACACGTACATCAATTACATTGAAATATTGCTTGGGACTGAAATAAAAAGCAATATTCACAGAAAACTAACGAGTTCTGCGGAAAAGATTGTAAGGGGAAGAGACTGCTAAGGTGGACATTGGTCTTTGCAATTAAAAATACTTGCAGCATATCGCAAAAATAAAACCGCTCAATGAGTAATTTTCACAACGCGACTTTTGCGTGATTAACGGGCCAAACAATTTGTCCGTCGCGCTCTAAATAATCCGTCGCAAGGCGAAGGAACGCCCCAACATCGTCCGACTTTGTCTCGCGGAGGGCGATCGGAGATTCGAGGATCAACCACGGGGCACCGGGCCGTTGTCGGCGGCGTCTCGCGCGGCGCGATACCGCATTCGCCGTCGCCGGGGCGGGCCGCGTTATCGGCGGCAAGGTAAATACCTACCTCGAGGGTGTAGTTCTGCCGAATAGTCTCGTAGGATCTCCAGGCCTCGGACGCGGCGGACGCGTCCATATTCAGCTTCTGGCATAGATCCTGGTGTCGATTGTACATCGAGTCCTCAGTATCGTCCGACTGCCCCATCCTCTTCCGCGCCGTAGTCCAGCCAGACGAGAAAATCAGACGAGATTCCGCGGAGAAAACACTCTTTACACCGCCATACAAAAACTTCGTGTTGCGTGCGCCGTAACGAGGTTGTTGCCGCGGGGACTTGGCGGGAAACGACACGAGCGCCGACATATTTGCCATGTTGGCGGGAAACGTAGGGGCAGAAAAGTGGTACCCGCGAGCGTGCGCTCGCGACGTGATGTTTGGAGTCCCTAGCTAGTCCCTAGCCTTTTAGGGTCCTTGGCTAGGGACTCTAGGAATTTTCAATTCGATCTCGCCACTCGATTGGTCGGAGAATCCGAGGTGATGTTGGCTGGCATGGATCGGTCACGGGTTTCGCAGAGCACAGTAGGTAGGTGCGGGAGGGATGACGGGGAGGGGGGTTGAGATCTAGACAAGTGACAACTGACAAGTCAGATGTCAGATTCGTTATCCGGCTGCTCAATCGACCACGACCGGCCTCGGTTAATGCGAACCACGAGCTTCGGCTTCGCGGCTTCCTCCAATATCTCTTCCTGTGTTAATTCACATGCGGATGTTATGGTAACTGAGATATGCGCGCGGTTATAAGAACGCGTGAGCGCATTTGTCGAGCGCTCTCGCTGCATCGCGCAAGCGCACACTTTGCACGCTGCCGTCCGAGACATCCCTCACTCAAATGTATTTACGCACGAGCGAAAAAAAAACCCGCGTGACGTAGGTCGGCAATGTGAAATTCCTTTACTGTCTCATCCTCTCTGTTTCAGGATTTCAGATCTTCCTTCGAAACTGGCTTCTTTTTCTAACTTTGAATATTTTCATTGCACTCTCGCTATTCTCGTCTTGCCTAGTCACGTTAGAGCGAAAGAAAAACGTTAGACAGAATAAAGCAGCGAAGATTCGATCTCCACTGCATTCTCATTCTTACGCATATATAGGTATGTATCGTTTATAGAGAGAAAATGGATTTGAGAAGAGATTTTATTCTAAGTATATATATTTAATTAGCTTACATTTATTATATACTTTAATATATTTTTTTTTCCACATTTAAAAAGTCTGCATTTATTATTCAATTATAATTCAATTGTTATATGTTTTTCTACGAAAATAAATTTTTTCGCAAATCCTATCGAGCAATATTATAGTGGAGCAATATATCAATTGTCATTTTTGTATACTAACAAAGCATTAATGTGATGTAATTTAATTCTTTTGAAAAGTATTTTATTTTATTTCCTTCTACATAATGACATTTATTTTTGATAAACTTTTTTTGAACGAAAATACAACAAATGTTTATTAATTTCTATCAATATGGATTAACTTTAATCTCGGTTTAATTTACCCTTTATCTTTTTCTGTTTCTTAAAAAAGAAAAGATAAATGTAAAATTTTTATTTCCTTGGAAGTTTTAATTAGTCATTGCTGCGGTCTGCTTAGAGATTATATTATGTATAATTGGTTTTTCGATAAGAGATATCCAGCTTCTTTTAATCATGCAAGTCATCTTCATAAAAATACAATTTTCTGATTTTTTTTGTATTACGTCGTACATATGAATTCTACGTCACATGGATTTCACGTAGTATATATAATCATATGGACTTCACATAGATATCTAATGATTTATCAATGCAGTTGAAACGTCATGGGTGCATTCAGGAATTCACTCATTTCATTATATCATTTTATCCTTGTTCACTGAATGTTAAACAAGGATAAATGACATCTAGATGCACCTGCGAGGTTTCTGAGCGCAGCCTAAAATTGGTTTATGTCTATGATTATTATATGCACGCGTGTGTGTTTGTTTTACATTCGCTTGAATTTCCAACAAAAGGGATCCTCCTTTCTTTTCATGATTCATTCGCAACAAATGTTGTCGGCGTTAATCAGCGGAAATGAGAACAAAAAGCTCTCTGATGCAGAACTGTCGAATACCTTCCGTACCAGGACTATCAGATGGGAATTACGTTTTGACACACCGCCGCGCATGTGATACACATTTATTCAGCGAGGTGTGATGTGCACAAAATAAATAAATGGGTGAATCATATAGATGTGTCGCTAGAAATGGCAAGTGACGCAACAAGTTTTATCCCGAATTGACGTTTATCTTGTTTAACTTTTAAACGGGCGAAAGTAGTGTAACGCAAATACATACATATAGAGTAATTGATGTAAGCGATTTTACGCGGGAATTGATAAGACTTAATGCGGCGGTTGCTCATTGCAGTTTTCTAGCGACTGCGTTAACTTAATCTGATAGAGTGTTTTATACTTTTATCATTCCTCTTGTCTGTTAATCGATAATCGAAGAGCTTATTTCTTCGATATCCATTCGTTTCTGCGCAATTTGTCGCGAATATCTCGCGATATTCAATTCTCATTGCCTCGCGTTATCATCGCTATGATATTGCGATCTAACGTTTGACATCGTTTGCAGGAAAACTGGTTTCTCATAAAGTATACACACGCAATCGCCCGATGATAAATGGTTCCTTCGATGCCCCCATTGGGTCTTCACCAGGGTGCCTGCATGAGACCAAAGTAGATCGAGCATTATGCAGAACGAGTGCGAATGTTATCGAACCGCTTAACACATTTGAGTACAGTGTTCGATATTATTCTTATTCTAATTGATATTATACGTTCTTATCAACGATCGCCTCTCCGGTTCCTGCAGGCAGGTGCGCTGGAAGAAGAGAGACACCGTGCAAACCATCATGCTTTGGCGTAAAGCGCAAACGGTGAGTCAATGTCAGCGTCTGCGCTCAGTTATGCGTGATGTACATGCCAACTCTTCCCGCTGACGTCTCACCGCGCTCGTCGTCGGTCCGGGTGCAGATAAAAGAGATCGGCGAACCTGTACATCGTCAGTATCCGCGTGTTCCCCGCGGCGAGTGGGACGATACGTCTGACGGCTGAAGAGCTGCGCTTCCGAAGAACCAGCTTCCGAACGAGACACGAGATTGAATTGCGTCTGCACGTGGTGCACGGCACATTCGCTTTCGTCAAGGAGATACGTCGGAGTAATCGCGCGGTTCTACAAGGCGATTAAGTGAGACTGAACTTGACCTATATCCAGGGTACGCCGAAGCGTCGAAGTGGCAAATCGATCGAGACGATCGCAGACTGAGTTTCGAGGACTACACGAGTACCTTCTCGTCGTGCTTTCTCTCACAGGTTGGTGTTAAATTGTCACTTATTTGAATTTTGATTGTCTTTCAAAAGGATTCCTACTGCCTAGAATATCGCCAGTGAATCGTTTTTCACGCTGTCTTTTTATGCATGTGTATAGAGAAAAAATTAATTGCTAATATCGAAGCGATCGATGGAACATTAAATACGTGATATTTTATATAATTGTTATTTATACGTGAATGTGAAAAAAATGGAAAAATACAAGCGCTAGAGTAATATTTCTTCTAAAATAATCTTCAAGTGCTAATATAAAAACTGTAAGAAAACAAAAACGCAATGGAATATTTTTGTAAATTGTAGTATTAAATATTGTAGGTTTTTCGTGAAGAAATTTAGAATAGTACCTTTTTGAAGACTGATTTCTTTAATTATTTTTTCTTATTTATCAATTATTAATGATTATCAATCGGCAATTAAAAAATACATTATTCTTACTAAAAGATTTTGCAATTACTATATAAGATAATTCGTAATTATTAAAATAATTATTATATTTCCTATCAGTAAATTTTATAATTATTAATAATTTTTTAGACACAATTACTGACAACTGTTTTACTTGAAAAATAAGTAATATTACTATTATTTTATACAATATATCTTATTATATCACAAATTAGAGAAGATTACAAAAAAGCAATACACAAGCTATTCATGATTTTACTTTCACATGTGACCTTCAGAATAAAATCAAATCCTCTCTAGAAACAGTTTTTAGCAAATAAAGATGTGGATGTTGTTTCTTTTATTTAAAAAATTATGCAAAAGTAGTTGACAGAAATTTAATTTTTGAAGTAAGCGCTTCAATGAATTTTTTGTCTTTATAATAAGAATTGAAATCGGTGAACTTTGGTGAAATTAATTTTAATATATTTAATGTTAAAATAAATTTAGTATTAATTTCGTATAAATTCATCAAAATTTTTTGCTTTATTTTATGGTTGTCGAATTCAAACAATACTTTTTACAGCATTAATGAAGAAATTAATAAAGAAATGGATAATGCTTCAGAGCACGGAACGTGTCAAATGTTATCTGACAATATATATATTTTACATAATAGAAAAAATTATATATATATCTATACATAGACGTAAACACGCACCATTGATAAGCGTAAAAGAACTAGCTCAATCGATCGTAATTGTTAAAATAGCTTACGTTGTTTGACTTGAAGCGGGAATTCCAGCTATCAGAAGCGTCACTGCTAGATGTAAATGCAATGCGTCAGCATAGTATCCAATAGAAAATGCATTGCCATGAGACGTCACATGAAAATTGATTTTTCTTATCTTATTTTATCATATACAGGATATCCCGAAACCCACCCTTTATCTATCAATCTTTTGCTTTGATTAAATTATTTTTGAAAAGATGATCTTATATTAACTTGTCATTATTTGTTATTGAATTATTATTTAATATCTGCGAAATTTAAATAAAATTGAATGAAAAAATCTCGGGGTTAATTTGAATTTAAATGAAAAATGAGATCTTATTTTGTATATTTAATTTATTTATGTATATGTAATGTATCTTGATTTACAAATTTATTTGTAATTGTTTATTGTTTAAAGTTCATTTTAGCGTAACAGATATTTCTGTTGAGGTAAAATTGTTTCCAAACCGATAAAAATAAATTCGTCAGTAAAGAGAAGACAAAAAGATTTTACGGGACTCGTTAAACTGAATGTCCTAAGACTGATTATTCATATTTCGAGCACGTGTAGTATTCATCAAAGTAAACAAAATATTTATGGATAAATTTGAAAAACATGCATCTTCTGTCGGCTTTAGAAGAGAGCTCGAGGAAGTGATTTGTTAAAAGGATACTGAAGTATTCTGTTTATATACGGCTAAACCTTAATCCATGAAAAACGTGTCTGCCACTCCCTTGGGAATTTCCAAAGACGTTGTACGTGATATTTTACATCTCTTTCAGGCGACACTCAGGTATATTATTCGACGTGTTCAAAGACACTGCTATTCCCGGCTTACATTCTTAGTTAACACAATGGAAGTATTGTAAGTTTACTGATGGTTGACATTGATTCATTATAGATTTTAGACGCAGAGAAGCATTTTGATTGAATAAAATACTCAAAAGAGAATATACGCTACGGAATATTTACAACTTACAATAAAAAGATGAATTAAATTAACAGATTTTATATTCAAAGAGATATGCTATAGAATATTTGCAATATTTACTAAAAGGTGAATTAAAATCTGTTAAAGGAAATATTTTAGATGTAAAAATATGAACATTCAGTTTTTTGATTTGCATTAGTTTTGAGCAGCACTTTTGAATTTTTTTTTATTATATACCTATGTATATATCTTTTCTGTGTTTACATTATTTATATATATATAAATAGCATAAATAAATATGCTATTCTCTCTCTCTCTCTCTGTATCATCTAACTTTTAAAAATATTTTTCTAAATTATTCTTATTTTCCAAGTTCATATATTGACAATTACTCAACGTATAATAGCTCAAGTGAATTATGTAAAATAGTTTTGATGAAAATTGCATACAACAGTTGATATTATCGGCAATGCAGATAACATATATGTCTATAGCTGTTTTTAAGTTATTAGTAAGATGATGGTGTAGATAATATTACGTTGAACATTACATGAATGATTATTAGCATAATGGTCATTGAATAAAATCAGATATTAATTTTTTTGCAGTTGCACACTGTAAAAACTCAAAATTATGCCTCATAAATTATATACAGACTTTTGATTTATCGAATTTTCTATTACATTTTAAATAAATTCGATATTACTTAATCTACTTAAAAAAAAATTAATTCTTCTCTTTTGTCTCAATAAACTTTTAATACTCAAGTGAAATTAAATATTTTAACTATTTCGAAATAATAGTCTTTCTACAACATCTGGAGAAATAAATTAAAAATTACGTTTAGAAAATTTTATTATTAACTTTATTATTAAATTAGTTAATGGAAATTTGCTTATCAGTCTGATTATTAAGTATCCAGAGCAAATTTTTATTTTGCATATATTTCCTGTTTGTAGATATTTCTATCAAATTGTTTCCTGACTGTTTATCTCGTTAGTTCCACCTATCTTCATAATTAGCCAAATGCGTCTGACACAATTAATTACGTTATTCTAAATCAATGTCTCATGAAAACGCGTATTTTATTTATAACGGTGCAAAGGGCACATTCGTGCCCTTAATTATTATCAGTACACAAATGTATCATAATTGTCAGTGACATATATCGATAGTGCGAAATGCGAAATGTGTTGTTATCGCGCCTGCAAATGAATTGTACGCTTCGCGGAACGGCGTTCGCCGCTCGTTTTATGTATACGCATGTGACGTATAATTATATGAAGCGCACGCCATTAGACGTTATTATTATGTTTACGAGATTCCACTGTTCTCTGTTTGCAATGAATGCGGAACCCGTATTCATGGTCACGAACCAGTAACTGTGATTCCGCAATTACTTTTTTGCGAGAGAAACGATTGCCCATCCACTGCAGATTACAGATGCGTGACCCCTATAAATAGCTGGTCACGAAATTATTTTCGAACTATTAAAACCATTAAAAGAGAAAGAGAAAAATAAACAGAAAATGATGGAACAAAATTTAAATCTCTTTAAACAAAATTTTTTTATCAATCAATTTTTTTAAATTAAAAATTTCATTATGTTTTTTTGCAGACACTCGAAAAGTCGAAAGGATGACGCGATTATGGCTGTTGTTTGGTATTTTGGCGTTGACTGGTGGCCAGATCATTTATCCGGATCAATACGAAATGATGACGATAAACAACGGTCGAGCCTCGCTACCTGCTGATTTTCAATCGTTACCAACGACCAGCAGTAATCAGCCACCTGTCCAAATCGATCAACAATTCGGCGTTGCTGCGAAGCCGGCAGAAGGGCAATTTTATCCTGCGTCCACTCGCGTACCGTTGTATCCATCAGTGAATCCGATAGCCAACCAGCAATCCATGCAAGACACTTGGAGCAATCATGTAAATTATTATTTGTGCTCGCGTAATTATGATTATTAAATCTCTTGTGTATTCTTTTAAAGTTTTTTAAAAAATACTAATGATTCGATGGAGGAAACATCGTCCACTCTTGTATATCATTGAAATCGTCGATTTCAGGTGAACAATATTATATCCAGGGGAATCACAAAGTTTGCTCTGGATTTGGATAGAGCGATTCACAAAACCTCGGTGACTAATCGTCGCGAGAACGTGGTCTTTTCTCCGATCAGCGTGTCCATCGCCTTGTCGTTAGTCCTGTTGGGTTCCGCCGGCAAGACCTTCGACGAGGTTTCTCGGATACTCGGCTTAGAGACTGGCGTAGATATATCTCAACATTCGGAAATCGTTCACCAGATGTACGGTCAGCTTCTGGCTATCATGAATTATAGGGTTGAGGGTAGCAATATGCCGCGCGTGAATTCCGCTAGTGGCATCTTCGTTCAGGTAAATTTCCACATTTTGCTTATTTACGTTATATATTATGGATTAATTTGATCCAGCACTCGGGAAAGAATATTAAGTTAATTAAAATATTAATCTTTAAATTATGTAATGAAAATGGATTTTGCGCGGATTGCACTTTAGAGATGCGAATAGAATAAAATATTTTTCTTTATTTCAATTTAAAATAAAAGCTTCCTATTAATAGATTTAACAGACTTTTAATTTCTATTTCAGCAAGGATATCCGATTCGACCCGAATTCCGCGCGATCAGCGAAAATGCGTACAATAGCGAAGTGATAAATTTAGATTTTCGAACAAAAGGCAGAGAAGCGCGAGACACAATAAACGCTTGGGTGAAAAAACGAACAATGGACAAAATTGATACTATATTGAACGAACCGCCAGATCCGTTGACCACCGTGATTCTTTTATCGGCGCTCTATTTTAAAGGAGAATGGAATCAGCATTTCTTAGGAGCTATGACAAAAAGGTATGTTTGTCATTTATTTCGACTGATGGTGAATTTTATTTTCTCGAAGATTACGATATTTTTTTTTATTACAGGAAACCATTCTTCATCGAGCCGAATGACACGGTCGAAATAGATATGATGTACAACGGTGGTAATTTTCCATTTTACGAAGACAAATCGTTGGACGTTAAAATATTGGGTTTGCCCTACAAAGGCTTAGAGGTAAACATATAAAAATATTAATTATGTAATTGCTTTTTAATTTAACAGTAAGATAAAGTTTAAATTACAATATCTCTCAAAATCTTGCAAATATTTTAATTTTTAAACTATTTTTTTTAATATCTTTATTTACGTAATTGTTTAGGCATTAATAAATTTAAATGTTTTAGCTCGGCAAAAATTTCCTCTTTTGAGTAATATCTAATTCACGAGGATTTTTTTTCTTTTATTTTTAGATGTCTATGTATGTACTTTTGCCGAAAGCCGAAGGAGCCGCCGCATTGAAGAGCTTCCAGGACCAACTAACGGCCGAGATTATTGAAAATCTAATCAACAATACGAAAAACGAGACTTGCCTCATCGGTTTTCCTCGTATGAAAATCTCGAGCAAATTGAATTTGAACAATGCACTTCACAATCTAGGCCTATATTCATTGTTCGATCCGAAAACTGCGGATTTCAGCCTTTTGTCCAACGGATTCGGTCAAGCACCAGAAGCACCGATTCTGCCGATTCCGCAAGCACAGGTTGCACCGATTTCGCAAGGACAGGCTGCACCGATTCCGCAAGGACAGGCTGCACCAATTCCGCAAGGACAGGCTGTACCAATTCCGCAAGGACAGGCTGCGTCGGTTCCACGACCACTTCCTGTGTCGATTCCGCAAGCGTCACCGCGGCAAATTCCTTCCTCGCTATTGCCGAGCACAAAGACCGACGAGTTCTTGATTTTCTCACGACTCGGAAATAACAATAATCAGGGCGCGAGAAGGAATTACTTTACGTTCAATGATAAAAGACACGGCGTCAGCGTAGAACAGTGGGACACAGGTTTCACTATCCGCAGCCTCAGCAGAAGACGTCGTGACGCTCTGCAGAGCGGAAGACGACGTAACGACACGAAGTCATCGCGTGGGACGTACGTCGTGGAGAATCAAGGCCCTGAGGAAATCGCGTCAAAGTTAGACGACGCGAATACGAAATACGTGAGCTTGGAGGAGAACAAGTATCGCTTCCGGAATGCCGAGAGGAATACGAAGAGCAGAAGTAGACGGCAGAGCCGACCCATAGACGAGAACTTCTTGAGATTCATACGGACGCAAAATTTCCCCTTTTACGGCTTGGACAATCTGCGAAACGGTGGGAATCTCGCGAATCCGGGCCTGTACGCCAACGACGTGCTGCACAAAGTGGAGATGGACGTGACGGAGAAGGGGACGGAGGCCGCGGCCACGACCGCGGTGCTTTTGCGCCGAGATGGCAATCAGAAGAAGCTGGTCGCCAACCGGCCTTTCATGTTTTTCATCAGGCACGACCCCACGAAGCTCATCCTCTTCTGGGGAACGATAAATGTGCCGACTCCAAACTACGCAGTCGTCAGATGAAATGCGCTATGTAGGTTTCTCGTATAGATATACCGGAGTTCGGCTTTCCTCGAATATAATTCCTACTTATTTTTTATATATTTATATATTTGTCTCTTGATTCGAACAAATGCGACTATTTTTTACGTCTTTTTTTATGTGTATAATATTTTGCACTGCTGTAACACGATTTCCGCGCATATCGCGGTCACAACGAGTATATATATATATTGCGTATGCTCGTTTTATTACCTATTATTTTATCTTATGTTCGTCATAACGCGTGTGCCTATTATCGCGTCGTATGCCTATGTCGTAAGTTAAAACGATGTTATAATCGTATTCTCTCTCTTTACGTATAAATAAACATGATCATATTGTTACTTTTTGATAACGATTTGATAACAATGATCGAAACGCAAGGAGATAAATAAGAAATTAATGATGATAACTTGAAATTTACAGAATTACGAATAAATCTCTTTAATGCAATTACGATGACGCTCCGATTAATTTAAAACTGGTAATAGTAAGTTTTGAGCTTTATCTTGTACTCCGAATCTCATAGTTCAGCTTGCTTTTATAGTAATAATTATAATGTTCCTTCAACTTTTGGAAAATAGATATGTGAAATCGATAAAAACTGTTTATTTTTCATGGTTTTGTGTCATATTAATCTGAACGCTTGTGTGTGAAAATAAAAACGATAATTGTGATTTAACTAACAATAATTTTCTTTCGCCAATCATATCTGACAAATCTTGTTCAAACAAATGTGTTCAAATAAATTCGATAAATATTTCGTACTTATTTGAATACACGCGCGCGCGCGATGCTCGCACGTAGCGTTCAACATTAATTCGTTAGTGATATTGTTTAGGAATCGGCAGTCGTGTCCTACAGTTCGTCGCGTGTTGTCATCGTCGCGCCAGTGCGAAAATAAGGAATTCCCGACCAACGGATCCGAATATTTCGCGATTTCTATCGCATTGTAATTAAATTCGCTGTGCGAACGTACGTCGCGTCGCGTTAATCACCACCAGGACATAATTATTCATTTCTGTTCGTAACATATGCATAACACGTTCCTTCCTACATCACGATATTCAAGCCTTTGACCATATAAGACCTTTGACCTTTTTATACTTATATATAGTCAAAGATTCAAAGATCTGATGCCAGGAAACAAGGGAAAGAAGCCCATCAGGAAGAAATCTACAATTAAACAAAGAAGAAAACATAATTTAAGAAGAGTACATAATTATAACGCTATGTACGGTAGATGTCCACACCCTGAGGATATCAGGAATAGAAATTTGGATTCACATCCATCAGTTTCATCATTGGCACCACGCTCTGCAATACCGCCGTGTCCGCCGCATGATTTCGTGCCCAATCAGCCCGCTAATGAATTTCCAAGGATTACACGACCATTCGCCCCTGCATTACTCGCGCGTCATGGTTTCATACCCAATAATGAATCTCCAGGCATTACACTACCACCATTCCAGCAGTTAATACTTAGTAAGTACATTTTAATTACTGCATCATCGATCATTTATTATGGTGCTCGGTTTCTGTGTAACGATTGCATTTTTCGATGTATGGGAAATAAATTTTGCTCGAATATCGAGTGGATGGAATCCTAATTTGCACGGATTGACATTAGAAAATCTCAAGGTTGCTTTTAGATTTTTCTATGTCTTTCCATCTTGATTCTTTGTAATAATAAAAATCTAAAATAATTTGTTAATAAGCGGAGATGTTAAATCCCATTTTTTCGCATTTTTAGAAAAAAATAATAATCCCGAACTTTAACTATGTTATAAATCTAAATTATAGTGTTTTCAAAGGCATAATGATTAAATGGAAATATGTGTTTGTTAAAGAATTAAAGTATCGAATTTCGATCAAGTTTTAATTAATTTAATGGGCGATTAATTTACCCGACCGAATTGCTTGAAGCAAAATTTTTAACTATATATTCACTTTCTCTTTAATTTTTTTGTAAAGAGCTATAACATAACGTAATCTATAGCTTTTTAATATTTTCCTCGAAAACAACGTTTTGAAATATATGGTTCTAAATACAAAATTGAAATACTGCATTTACGATTATGATTGGTTCGCGTTGCCGGTCAATTCGATCACTAGAACCCGAATACGATTGGTTGGATTTTAGGGACCTTATAGGGATCTCTAATCGACTGCTTTAGCCACCCGGTGAAATGCTGTGTAAATGGTGCAGTACTAAATGCACCTAACGAGTGCCAGTGAGGTGCCGACAAATATCGCACATAACCTAGAACTCGAGTTTTCTGTCGCTCGTTAGTTTTACATCATTCTCGGCAGTTATAACATCGAGGGCAATTCAAAAAGTTACATTGACTTAGCAAATCAACGGAATTTATCGAGAAGGTCGCCTCGATGCCGAAATACTATTGTGACTATTGCGACACTTATTTGACACATGACTCGCCGAGCGTACGGAAGACCCATTGCCAGGGTCGCAAGCACAAGGATAACGTCAAGTATTTCTACCAGAAATGGATGGAGGAGCAGGCCCAGCACCTGATCGACGCGACGACGGCCGCCTTCAAGGCCGGTAAGATCGCCTCCAACCCCTTCGCGGCCAGCAAGGGCGCGGCGATCCCGCCGCCGCCGAATCTCGGCTCCAACCTTGGCTCGAGATCTGGAGTACCGCCCCAGGGACCGCCGGGAATGATGCCGCCGCCGGGTATGCATCCAGCTGGCCCGATGGGACCGGGAGGCCCGATGATGATGGGACCGCACGGACCGATGCCGCCTCCTATGATGGGCATGAGACCACCTATGATGGGACCGATGGGGCCGATGGGTCCTATGATGGGTCCTTTAGGTCCTATGGGGCACATGAGACCACCGATGAACGGACCACCGCCTCCGATGGTCGGCCCGCCGCCGATGAAGAAATAACAATTAGATTAAGGACTTTTCTTGTCTCTTGTGCATCACGTTGGATACAATTGAAGCAAAACTAAACTTTTGATTGTGAACATGCTTATCGGAGTGGTGTTATTGCGTACATTATATTTTTAAGAATTCTGTACAAACCCGTACAAGTTGCGAAATCAACTCTGATAGAAAAATACCTGCAACACTTTGATTTGTATCTAAATGATAGAAATATTCATAAATTTTTTTCCTAGTAAATGTAATATAAGTAATTATTTTCATACAGTATATTTTTGCTTTATACCAGTTTCGTTTAGCACTGAGTAATGATAATAATTTAAAAAACAAATTACAAAATATCTAGTATCACTAAATTAGTAAAATATGTAATTTGGACCGTGTTTAAACTTTTAAATCATTAAATTTTTATTAAATTGCAAAGATAAATGTATAAATATAGTAGTAAAACATAATCATTAAAACGTTACAATATTTAATTATATTAGCATAATTTTTGAATCACGAACTAATAGCTTTAGTTATTTATTATTTCATTTGCGACAAAATAACGTCATGCAGTAAGCAAGAATTGACAGGATTATTTAATTTATCCAAGGATATAAAGAATTACAAAAAAATAGTCGACTTTTATTTTATACTTATTACAGTATATAACATAAGACCATATGATATTGTTTTAATTACAATCATCGGGATGATTAATAGAGCACAGTATAATACATACAGTCGAACTGTTTCTAGAGTTTTTTTTTAACAAGTTTTAAGTCATAACAAATATTTTCTTTTCAAATATGTTAACGTACATTCGTTACGGGTCATTCAATATCGTTCAAATTTTCCCATATAGTTAAGATAAACCTAACCCGAACGATTTCGTATATTATACGAATGCACGTCAGATACCACTGAACGGAAATAATTTTTGTAAACTACTATGACTTCAAGACTTTGAAATAATTATTAAGAGTAGTTTGATAAAATTTCTCTAACTCAATCAATTTAGACAATGTCTTGACATGTTTACGCATAACTGTTTGATTGCTAATCCGTTTTTGTATTGCATCTGCCGCATCTATCATATGTGGCAGTTTAAGAGCACGAGCCATTTCTACGAGATTTGACGCGGTACTACATATTTTTTTTTTGGAAAGTTCTCTCGATCTCTTTTTCTCTTCTTTTAATTGTTGTTTCTTGGACTTTTTCATCGAATGTTCTTTTGGTATATCTATCGCACAATACACGTTCGCGTTCTGTTTGTCCACGGATACAGTGGATTCGATGTTTACTTCGCCTGTTGACAATTGATCTTCGTTACTGTTAGGATCTCTCGATTCATCCGACACGGGCTCGGTATTTAAAGGTATATTCGGAGAATTCTCTTCCGTAAGAGAATCGTTTATTACTATTGTCTCATCGCAATTGCGATCCGTTACTTTGCCCGTCTCAAGCAAAGTATCGTCCTTATTGTTTTGTCCGTCAGCTGACAATTCGTTATTCTGTTGATTAATAATTGTGGAGGAATTTAAGTTTTCTTGTTCACGTATCTCTGGTACATCTGGTACGTGATGCGTCTCTGGCGCAGCCTGCGGAAGGATTGTCTCGTCCTCCTTACTCTGCATGCGACGTAACGTCTCGTGCACGTCCTCCGGTGTGTGAGGTACAAATAGATAATTGTAAAGCAGGAGAAGCCCAAGATAAGTGGCAGTGTCAAGCCTATGGCCCATTTGATTTAGTTCTGATTTGAATCTCTTCATCGCGCCCTCGAACATACGTACGAAACAATTCGGTTCAGGTTCGGTATTGACGATCATGAGAAGTTTGATTTGCGAACGCATTAAATTTCTGCGTAAGAGAAGATGTTTTCTCCTACTTCCTTGGAATCGTTTCAAACCGTTTTTTTCATTTTTTATAGCCTTGTACAACCATAGCGGATTACTTATATTTCCTACATAGTCGGCATAACATGTGAAACGCATTTTCTCGAGTTGCGGCATTCTCCCTTGCAACAAGTTGTACATCTTTGTAGGATTTGTAGATGCAGTTACGTCTATACCATAATCTTTTTCATCATCCGGAAGATTAAGCCAATATCTGAACAGATCGTACAAATGTTTTATGTATTCTTTCGTCGCTATTAATAAAAGAGTCAAATCACTATTAATAAAGCCTATCTTCAATTCAAACTCTATCTCCTTCTCCTTTAATGCTTTTAAAAAACCCGGATTAATAGCGCGTTTGGCTAAACTCTGTAACGTAGATTTTCTATGTGCAAAGTCTTTAGTAAGATTTGCCACAATCATCCGCGCCTTGTTGTGATGTTTATTGTGATAAACACCATAGGACCATACAATGCTAGCAAATGATATTTGATGAATATTAACCCTCACTTCGATTGGTTTGGGAATTGTTTTTCTATCTGTGGGCCAATTCGCCATGAAAGATCGTAATCCATCTATTTGCAAGATCCAATCAGCTCTTCGTGAAGTACAAAAATTATTATTTGATGATAATGTGTTTACGTTTCTGGGAAAGGATACCGCGTCTTCGGTCATTGTTTGTTGTACCTCAGTGGCACTTTGTAGAGTCGATATTTCGTTTTCTCTCGCTTCAGACGAGAAACCTGTCTCAGGGTTAGGTCCAGAGGAAGTTGACGCACGGGGACTCGATGGCGTATACGTGGGCCCGTCTGTATAATTTGTCACGGCAGCTGGTGTAGGGAAATGCTCGGACCATCGATATTCTCTGCACGCGGACGATTCGTGGCCGCGTTTAGCACAATTAGGGCAATAAAGCAATCTCCACGGCTTCATCACGTTACCCGGATCCTGCGGCACGCTAGTCATGTCGGTCGTCTGATGGTACCGTCGCCAAAGATCGGGACATTGCTCTTGCTCGTGTCCTATCGAATTACACATAGTACAGTACAGGACACGACAATATTCACAAGTGTTACAAAATGTGTTTCGCCGCTTACCACATGTTAGACACATCTTCCGCGGACATCGAGACTCCGTGTGGCCCTTCATGCCGCACATGTAGCAACACGGTGATTTACGTACCATCGGACACATGTAGTGCCGATGGCCTTCCTGCTGGCAGTTGGTGCATTTGGTGTTCCAGAATCTTTGAATACGTCTACCAGTGGGACTCGGCATTATGTCTTCATCCAGGATTGCCCACATTCGCGGATCCTTCGACATGCCCTGCTGCAACTCGCCAACATCGAAGTTCTCTTGGCCGCGACTCGTGTTGTAATAGTTCTTCATCTCCTCCGACATTGACTCGAAAAAGTCACTCGATACGTTTCTTTTCTGTCCACCGCTGTTACTCTGCGGCGTAACATTTTGGTTATCCTGTTGAACGATGCACTGTCGCTTCTGTTTAGACTGACTGTCGACATCGTTGTTGCATCGTCTCTTTCGGTCATTTACTGGATTGCAAGACTTTGCTCCTAATGTTTTGTCTGGCTCCACACGTCTAAGATTATATACATTTTGTTGCGTCACTTGCGATTTTCTTCCTGATGTCACCGATGTTTCTTGTTGAAGATTAGCATTTTCATTATTTCCTTTCGACTTATTTTGCGGTGATGCTCTCTTGCTTTGATTTGAATCTTCAGTCGATTTACTTTCTTGATTTGCCCTGACGCTTTTGGACAACTGCCTAATTTCATTTATGCTATTAGCGCCTGTTTGAAACGTTGTGCAATTCAACACAATATCTTCCGTAAAATTCTGTGCACGTGCTGAAGTTTCAATACTTTTACTAGGATTTGCAGTATCCTTGTTATTTAATCTAACAGTATTCGTTCTCTTGGTAGATGAGTCTTGATGGCTATGTATTGCTTCCAAGATTTCTGACTCGCAATTATTAAATCGGTTCGTTATTGAATCTGTCTCTACTACATTACTCCATTTTCTTAAAACTACATCATCCTCATCTAGCCTTCCACATGATTTACTTTCTTCGTCCGAATCTTGCAGGTCTATGAGCGGTGGCTTCGGTTTCGGTGGGATAGGCACTTCAAATACAGATTCTTCAGAGTCAGAGTTGTCTTTATTTTTATTAGTCTGTTTGGTTAAAAGCCTCTTTTGTTTCACACCTTTCGAAACAACGTTGTACTTTGAATGTGTTGTATCGTTATTGTCTTTCTCAGAGCTTTCTTGACATGCATTTTTTGCACATTTGGAAAATTTGCGCTTCTTGGAAGAATTTTCAGTTCTCTCTTGACCTTGTACAATTGAAGGCTCTTCTAAAGATCTCTCGTTATCACACTCGTGTGCAGGGTTCATTTCTCTGCCCGCCAATGTATCGACTTGAGCAAATTCTGCCTGATCTGCAGAATGTGTCTTCTGAGGATCTGCTGGATATCGTATATACGTGTTATTGTATATCGATATTTTTATAGAACTCTCTTTTTGAATATTCTGATGTTTTACCGACAATTTAGACTTTTTCGTAGCTTTATCAGATTTACCTCCAGTGGCCTCGTACGTCCGGGGTGCCGAGGGTTGTTCTTCAGATTCGCGTTGCATGCTCTTTGATTCAACGTTCGTCGTCTCAATCCTATCAAATTCAATCGTCCTCGGGGCTTCCGCGGTTCCTGATCCGCCCTCGACGTTCGATTCGTAATAGATTTCTGCATACAGACGAGCCTGCAACTCGCTATCGTCCAAATCGTCGGTTTTATAATAATCTACAACATACAATAATAATAGAATTATTCGCATTGTCGTCGCAAAAATCGTAACAATTTGGCAATTAAATGAGATTTCAATTTGTTTGGTTATTCACCCTCGAAGTTGTTCTTCCTCTCAGTGATACCGTCTGACATGATGTCTATGAGAATTTCTCAGATCAATTCTGGAATTAATTGAACAAATTTGGAATATAATCGACTGATATGCCATTGATATAACAATATTTGATAAATATATAACAATAAATTTTATGTGGCTAATACAAAGACACCGTACTTTGCAAGAACAGCACGTGCTAGTTGAATCCGTGTATAATGAGATGAACAGCATTTCTCGTAATACAAGTTTAGCAACATACATTATTAGTGGATAAACGTCCCTAGTACGCATTTCGGGTATGTAACTCACTATATAGTATATAGTGGTTAATTTGGCAACTGTGTTGTGTTCAGCAGTCACATGATTGGTTCTTGCCCTTAATTCTTCTATGATTTTAAATGTATAAAACAATTATATTAAACAATTTTACAACAGTTGCAAAGCTGTTTTTGTGCTGAACGCAGCCACCGACGAGATATATATTATTAAAGATAATCGGCCAAATTTTTTCGTGACTGTCACGTGGACTCGGAGATAATTGAAGAACGACGACATTACCAACCATTTTGGCTGCACCGAGGATAACAAATATAATCACGATTTTATTATCGACAGTGAAAAGTTTACATTCCGCGATCGTGTGTTTTAATTGTTATCCTCGGTAGAGCAAAAATGGTTGGTAATGTCATCGTTCGCCAATTACCCGCGGGCCCACCGGGCTCACTTGAAATCAGGATATTGCCGCCTTGTTAGATTTTTGCACCTTATCGCTATAAGAATTGAACAATTAATTCATATGTGATCTATAAGAAATTATGAATGATGAATGCTACATTAAGATTTGTGTTAAAATAATGAAATTGTAATAAAATATTGTAATAATTGTAATAATATATTTTAAAATTTTAATTCGAATTTGCGTAGCCACGCAATGTGTATATGTATTGTATAGTAATGCATGGAGAAATCAACCAGGTGTTTAGAAAAATGAAAGACATAAAAAGATATCTGTTTTTGTCGCGTTTCTTCTGTCGCATATATAATTGTCATTGATTTTTTTGTATATAATATATATATATATATACATTATGCAAGCCTGAATGGTATATCATTAAATAACAAATGCTAAATTTTATTTTTAAAGGGCCTCAGCAAAGTTCAGCATTAACTTATTCACATCAACAGCCTCTTATATCAATGCATCCTGAGCAACAACAGCTGTTACTTGAGTGTGAATCGCATATAGAATCAACGTTCGTGCCGAGAGCGGGGTCATCTCATTTCGTATCACATTCCTTGGCACCTATGATGCATGAACTTTCACTAGGACAACCACATAATCTAAGTTTCGAAAATTATGATCAACAAATATCGCGCAATATGTCTGATGAAGTCGCGAACAGCAATCGACAATGCGATAAAGGCAATAAGCCTGTATTGAGTATTGAGAATGATGTAAGGAAAGATGACGAAAACGGATTAAAAAAGGAGGATATTATGAAAGTAATAAAAATTATGCAATGCAAACCGATCTATATGGACAAAGACAAAATGACAGCCACATTTGAGGACTCCGCCAAAAATAGTGAAATTAAAGTCAAAGTTGAAGAATCCAAAAGAGCTGAAGTTAAAGAAAAAATTGAAGAACCCAAAACACCCGAATTTAAAGTAAAAATCGAAGAATTCAAAACACCTGAATTTAAATTAAAAGTCGAAGAACCCAAAACACCTGAAGTTAAAATAAAATTCGAAAAACTCGAAAGAGCTGTAGTTAATCGAATCAAAATTTCAACTCCCGATGGAATTGAGGTTCAGCTAAGAAGAGATCTGAGAACAGAAAGGAAAAGAGGTATGATAAAACTAGAGAATATTTAAAATTTTGAAAAGTTTACTTGAAAAGAATTACGAATGCGCAAACTTTTTTACAGATAGAGAAAAAATAATATTTTGATTACATATATTTCTCTACGTTTTTTTTCTTTTTACCAAAAAGAAAAAAACGTTTCTTTAAATGTTTTTCGAGTATAGATATTTTAACCACTCAGAAATGTTTTCAACAGTCGGTTATGAAACGTTTCTGAAACGATTACGTATACTACCTGGGATAATTATTATATGTGATCCGATCTTGTTTAAAATCGCGTCTCGAAAGCACGATCCCGATATGCCATAAAAGTCTTTATTATTATCATTGACCGGATAAAATTGTTAATATTTCCAAGATGTACCTAAGATAAGATTCTAAATACACAAGCTGGGACTGTAAAATATTGTTCATACAGGAATTTCGATCATACAGAAATTTTCTACTTTACATAAGGTAACGTGTTGCAACAGCTTCACGCCGCGGCCGCTTCGATCGTTGTCGATTCTCATTCTTGAATCAATAAACGCGTCGCGACCGACCGACACATGTCGAACTTTGAACCGTTCCGCGTTTTCTCGCGATTGTTGCCGTTCGAGAGCGAATCTCCCATGCGTCAAATATGGAAAAACGTTTGCCATAATGTACGTCAGATCTTCAGCGATGTGCCGTGGACGATCGTCGTCATCGCGATTTCGATCGTCGGCGATCCGTTTGTGTAATCTTGGAATCGAAATCGTCCGTCATTTTCGTCACTTTTCGGCAGGGACGCGCGAGTACAGGTACAGGTATATATATATGTACATACGCGAATATACGCTTGTGTGTAATCTCTCTTTCTGTGTATAAAGCAATCGTGTTATACTTTTCGCGATAAACACGCAAAGATTGCCATTTTCAATTCTACGATGCGTATATCTCTCAGAATCCATGACCGCGACGAAACGTATAAGGATCAATGCGGCGTACGTTTCGGCAGACATTGATCTGATAATGTGTAGATAAATTATTGCGGAGAAAACTTCTTGAGAAAATCCTTCCTGAAATCATTTCATTCGCGATAAATCTATGAGGGCGAGACTTCGATTCAACTCCGATTATAAATTAATTAAGTCGGCGATCAATTAAATTGTAGAATCACAGCAAATTTCTAGATATTACAACTCGAATTGTCTATAATCGTCTTTCCTGTATGTTGAACAAGAAAAAATTGATAATTTTACGCATCGCAACAAAGGATGCAGGCATTATTTGAAGCTGATCGCCGATAAGTTAATCGAAATTCTATCGAAACTTGAGAAGCGAATTGAGAATTAGAGAGTTTGCCATGAACCGTGAACATGGCGCGCCAAAGGAAGGAATCGCGGAGTCAGGCCTCTCACCGCCTGCTCGCAAATTTCCCCCAGGCAATTCTCCCCTAGTGGCGCGGGGACACCAGTCGCGTGTGTCCTGCGCTCTCAGCGCGACGTCGCGCGTCGGCTGCTTCGGGAAGTTCCGGCCAATCGGGCAGCTCCGTTTGGCGCACGATCGGTGCAGTTGATAAATGGAGGATCCGTGTTTGTCAAGGTAGTTTTGTTTACGCGGAAATTTTCACTCGGTAACAACTCCCCGTGCGTCTCGTTTGTGCTGAAGAGGTAGATGAAGGTACGTGACGATTGTCGCGCGCGCGGTACGCCGGCCTCGGCGGCCGCCGTCGCGTCGGCGACGTGAAAATCGAACGAACGCGTCGGGCCGTCCGCGCGAGCGTACGAGCTCGCACGGGCAGGACGAGTGGTTGACGCTGAAAAAACTCGCCACCGCCTGGCGAAATTCGCGTCCGCGCGCGGCCCGACCACCCTCGGCCGGTCCGCCGTCGCGTCTCGCGCCGAGATCGGCGAGTCTGCGGCCCGTCCGACCGGCCTGGCCCGCGAAAACACCGTTTCACCGTCATAGGTTATGGGGCTTGTACCTGGTGTGCTTTGTAGTATGGAACAAACGAAATCCGTCGTCTCTTGTGATCCACGTCGTTCGCCCGCGCTAACTTCGCTCGAGTTCGAGAGAAATTCTTGTCGTGCCCGACACGCGGTAGAGCCACACGCTGCTGCGCTCTCTGTTCTCTTATGGGAGGACTGGAGTCACAAGCCTGGCTGTTCTAATGACTGATTTATCACCAGTACTAATCTCACGTCGATTCAGCTGTGCATCTCTCAGATGCACATGTCTTTTCAGTTTCTTCAAGGCAAGTCTGTGTACACTAGTACACAGCTGATAAGCAGTATCAAGAGATATAAGAATCATTCTGTCAACTATTCAAGTTTTAACAGATGATGCCTATAACTTATACAAATTTTTTTAAAGAACCTTTCAACTTGCCGTCGCATGAAAATTATATCTGAGAGATGTACTATAATGCATGACATTTAGCTGTAAAAGATTACAAACACTTGTTACACTTTCTTATTTTAACAAGAATCCTTTGTTCTTCTTTTCTAGAATATAACATGTCCCGCAATCACAAGGACAAGTATGAGAACTCCAACACGCGTCGTATGTATACACTCATGTGCCCTGAGGACTATCAATCGGGGAAGAAATCTCATTGGTCGGAGTTGGAGATAACAGGCAGTATAAGGAATTTGAGCTCCAATTTATGGCAAATGACTCATCTAACAGCTCTGTACATGAACGACAACAGTCTGCAGAGGTTGCCATCTGAGATTGGTCGTCTTGTCAACTTGCGCGTTCTAGATCTCAGTAGCAACAAGCTGCGCAGTCTGCCTGCTGAACTGGGGGAGCTCATTTATCTCAGGTATGGCAGAACGGACGAAAGTAAACGGAAAAACATTCATTTTTATAACGAGCTTTTATAGATCTCATTTTTTCATGAAAAATTTTGTTATTGTGTTATTCCAGGGAGTTGTTATTGAACCAAAACTTCCTTCGCGTGTTACCGTACGAACTAGGGAAGTTGTTCCAGTTACAAGTGCTCGGACTTCAAGGAAATCCACTCAGCAAGGACGTGCTGGCGTTGTACGGGAATGGAGAGCCTGCGGGGACGAACAAGCTGCTGACGTACATGTTGGACAACTTACAAGGTAAGTGGAGAGATTTTATTTGCTGAGCCAGTTATCAAAGACGTTCGAGTCTTCTCTGGAAATTTCCATAATCTTCTGTTATTTTGTTAAAGTGAATAAAAAGTATACGATACGCGTCTGCTTGCTATCGTAATAATGATTGTAAATGTCAATTACAACATAAAGGTCGGTGTGTCTAAATTATATATAATTAGAAATTAAGAATTTGGAAGAAATGTTCCTTTACGTAGAATCGAACGTATTTCGTTTATTGCTCATATGTTTGGATAAGATATTAAACCATAGTTTTTTTAAATAGACCGACGTAGGTTTGCGTACGTACAATTACATAGCGTACGAGAAATCAATATTGAATGGTCTTTTCTATTTATATTTGCAATGGTTTTTTTTTCTATTTGCGCTCAAAATCGCGCGTGTATAGTTGTCGGTATAAAAAGCGACTGTTTTATCTACGCGACGTATTCCGTCACAGTTTGATGTCGTTCGTGACAGATGACGCCACGTGTTCCGTTTAAATGTCCAAGAAATTTAAAAAAATTGATGCTGTATCTCCTGAATTTCATAATTTACATATAATTTTGCGCTTGTGTGTACGTATCAATATCATTTTCGTGTTAATATATTTTCATTAAATATTCAAATCAGAAGAGAAGAAAATATTTTGAAACAAAAATATATAAGGAACATATTTATAATCATTCTCGTTAGAATTGAAGTAATTAGTCTAGAGTCTAGAAAAAATATTTGTACATAAAAATATACATCTTTAAGCAAAATAAGCGATGCTGTTGTAAGATTAACTTTTCCAAGAAAACAGTCACAAAAATCGATAATATTCCGCATAAATGTTTTAGGGCCTTTTACAGTCCTTTCCAAACTTTATAAATGCCTCTGATGACTATCAAGTCAGTCTTTTTCAAAGAGAAATCTAATTATCGCCGGATAAGCGAGCGTTAATCTCTCTCGACTCTTTCTTTTTCACGGTCGGATGGGTGGGTGGGTACCCGGGGGATGGGTGGGTGGACGATCGGACTTGAGTTTACGCTCCGTGGAAAACGAACGTTCGTGGAGGAGTCGCGATTGGCGAAAGAAAGAGAGGACTCTCTCGTCGGAGGGCGTGATCCTATCCATTGTGTTGCGCGCATTTTTGCCGGTTACCCGATCGCCTGAAAGGTCTCGGCTGTACCATTCCGTTTATCCATTGTTCTCCGGGACTTTTACTGTCCGATACCGCAACACCACCGTGTGCGTCGTTGCCAGTCATTTCCCCTTCGCGACTCCACCATCGTTTCTCCTCCGCGGATATTCTCGCTTGTCATCCTTTTCGTACAGGTCTACCCGGCTCTCCTCTTCCTCTCCTTCCTTCTCTCGTTTCACACGGAGTCACCCTTCTTATCTGAAATCACGCGGAAAGCATATCTCTGCATTTCACCGTCGTCGAACGCGTCTTGTACACTTGTCTCCGTCGGGATAGCCTCGTTCTCGAGATGAGGGAACGCGTATAGTTCGCGTTCGAAAAGCGGAAGGATAATACGTTCTATATGAAAATTCAGCATTGCGGATGTGCATTGTCGAGATGAATTAGATAAACGAGATTTATAGATAAATTTAGTAAAAAATTCCGACATATATTAGATAAACTTTTATAATACATATTCTTTATATGCATAATTCCCATTTTAGAGCTCGTCGTGGAGCTTTCGCTTTCCCGATTACTATACGGGATAAATGATATTAAAATTGATATATTTTGCACATAATCCTTTGATATACATCGCGGACAAAAAGAATTACGGCCCGATCTGAAGAGACAACTATAAAAACGATGAAGATCTTTTAATTTATCATTCATAAAATTTAATATAAAGTAATTTTCATAGGTCTCTCATGAATGAACTTATGCGCGCGTTAAACGTCCTATAAATTTTTATAGTGCGCGTATAGCCCATAATTCGCGGCGGCTTAAGAACGAACTTGAGCTAAGAACGTTTAATATTAATGGTCTGGCATTTAGTGGCGAAGGGGTCGAAGGGGTTAAAGCTCGCTCGTAAAAATGGCGCGGGTACCTTCCCCTAACGGTTTAACGGGGGGGTATCTCTTCGTATAAGGTTGCATGCAAATTTGTTTGCCTTTGAACGCGCGTACGCGCGTACACGTTCGCGCGGGATTCGCGCGCATTGTTGCGCCGCCGCTTTCCGCGAGATCGCTTGAATACGCGAGTGTGCGAAAGTGCACACACGATGATTTATATAGACGTATTTGGCAGAGCCCGCCGGCGCACGGTGTGGGAGCCCGGAGTCCCGGAAACAAATTTATGCACATTGTATCAGCGGGGATCTCTCGGCGGCATCGTTGTCACGACTTCCCAGAAGTAACGTGACTACGATTGCGCCATAATTGGCCTAAGTGTGCCCATTGTGCTCGTGTCACTTGCGTGTCGCCTACAGGTGTCTCCTCCACTTTGTTGTTGTGTCTCGCGATTTACGTTCGTCGGGTTGCGAAACATCGGAGACCAGTTGCTTGCACCGAAGCCCTCCCCCCTCCCTCCCCCCCTCTGTACCTTCGTGCACAGTCTCCACATCCATTTTCTACTTACACAATGCTTTATTGCCAAGTAAAAGCCTTTAGCGTCATATTAGTTAATTTTGATAGTAATATTTTTATGGGTATAATATATCGTAAATTATAAAAAAAGAGTAATTAGAAAACTTTTTAAAATGCAACTGAAGTCCTTTAAAGTTTAAACTTTAATTATCGAGTTACTTCTACCTAAAGGATTAGAAAATCTTCTATCGAATCTTTTCTTCTTTTTATTTTTATTTTGTTATGCTTTACATTGATTGCGTGCAGTCTGCAATATATATTTAGAGTCATATATAGCTGTCCGAGGAGACGTTCGTGTAACGAGAATAACACTACCTTCTTGGGCCAAAAGGAAACCGGGTCTCGCGCCAGCGGGCCGAGTGAAAGGGGTCCCTGGGTCCCGAAAAAGAAAATTGTTATCCGCGATTCACTTGGCCGCCCGCGGCCCGCCGAGCCGTCTCATCCGTGTAATTACACGGGGGCCCGTTCCGGGATAATTGAGGACGAAACTGAGGGGAGAAAGTGAACCGCCGCCGCCGCTTCGCGTACGCGGCATGATTCATTCGTTATTCGGCGCGCACGGTGTGTACACACGCGAAGAGACGGGCCCAAACAGGTCCCCGTAACTAGGGCATGACGAAGATGGCACCTGCTGCGATTGCACAAATCGACTGGAACGCCAGTATCTTGTCAATAGGATTAATTTTTAATATAATAAAACTTTATGAGAATGATAGACTGTCATCAGAAATAATAAATATATGATGTACATTATTACTTTTATTATAAATCGTTGCTTAACAGTTACTTCCCTGTGTTATCCATGAGAATATAGATAGTAAAAATATTAGTTGTATGTAGATACTCAACAACACATAAATATAAACAGCATAATAGGGGTGAAGAGGGAGGGGGAGGGCGGGACGTGAAACGATACTGATCTCGACTTTGAAAGCAAACACGAGTCATGAATTGTGATTGCACGCTCTAACAATTCGTGTCACTTGGATGTCCTCATTAACTCGTATTCGCCTACTTTTTCTCCGTGCGCGGAGATGTGATTCAAGTATCGTGTTTCTATAAAAAGGTGAGCTTTCTTCGGCAAAAAGGAGCTCGATTCCGACGTCATGGTAATAAATAAAGGTGAGCCCGCGTAATGTTGATAAAAGAGAGCTTTCATAAAATTAAGTAAACGTTGAGGACCTCAGATGAAAAAGAGATTCACGCTGTCTTTTGACACAGCTGGGTTTATTAAGAATCGTCGCTGCGAAAGTTGCTGCAAGCATTGTAGCTCTATAATTATTTTCGCATTTCCTCGTAAAGCTAGAAACATATTCGTTTTCTCTGGTTTAGCTTCGTGTTATTTTTAACTTAATAATATGAGAAATTGTGAAAGGAGAGATGTGGCACTTCGCGGAATCAACTTTTCCTCGGAAAAGTAATTTAGGAAAATTAATTTAGGAGAGCGTGATATTTTTTTTGTCAAAGCTGTGGGGATTGAAATTTCGGGACACATTCCACTCTGTCATCGTTACGCTATTTTAATACACGCGACAGTGAGTATAATGGCAGAATAGCACGTCCATAAAACAAGTTCGTCATTGTTTCCTTTATGAAAAGGAAAGCGCTTGACGTGAAAGTAATTGAAAGTAGCGTTACTAGTACGTATTGTTTTAGGTCATCGATTAATATTTCAAAGTCACGCATACTCTCCTCCGGATATGAGTCACGTATAAACCCAAGGAAGTTTCGAATCATCTTCACACGGCACTTAAAAGCTAATTACATTCTTTGCCTACATATTATTTAATTGACCTGACGACTTTTTATTGTCCAACTTTTGACGTTACATAATATCAACTTGTAATCATTTATTATTATAACATACGTGCATAATTGCTTATTAACACGTAGTCTATAACGCGATGTATATCAAACATTGTTATTAAATTTAATATTTGATTTTCATTTTGAGACAATTAATTTGATTTACCGTATTGCTATGAATCATTCTTTTCCAATTTGTCAGGTCAATTTGACTGTATATACGCAAATCAATGGACTAGTGCTGCATTCCGACTCGTTGTTTACCCGTCACGTTTTGTCCTTCGATTATATTACAGTCGTAGAATAACACGGGCTATTTCAGTCCCGAGTGTAGCTATACACTTTGTAATAATTGACGACACTCGTTTTTTTTTTGTAGAATCACGTAATTCGTGGCAGTGCATAGAAACACATCGCAATGCGCATCAATTACGTTTCATTTTTATGGACGGCACCGCGCAATGCTATTTTCGGATTGGTCGGATGCTTACAGCCGGCGGTTCTCTTCGCGTACTCGTCGAACGATTCGGACGTGGGAAAGTATGGAGTGTTTCCGACGAGGAAACTCGTTTTTCCCTCCGGTATACTCC